TGAAGATTTTGTGTTTATTGTGATTTACTCTCATTGATTCTACATGTTCTCCCCATTTTGACTATACATTAATGTCAATATCTTACTTTGACCAGAAATATCTACAATTGCTATTTATTTTTAAAAATTAATAATTGAATACTAATAAACTACTCATTGAAACGAATTAAATAAGACCCAATATGACTACGTTATATTTAATCTCTTCGTTTTCGTAATGGTTACAACACTAGATGATTCTATGGTAGTAATCCTTAGAATGATTCCAATTATACTATTTTTTTATTGGCATATTTTGATTTAGTTTTTAATGTCAAAATTAATTATAGAACATTTATCTAATTTTAAAAATTCGTTTATTAATTTTGAATATAATCTTGACTAATTAAGTTACAAATTCAGTTTTTATTATTATTAAATTAAAAATTAATTCATAAATTAATATGAAAATTTTAGAAAAAATTAAAAAAAATGAATTTTAAAAATAAGAAAAAACTTTTGATTATAAATTTTGACATAAAAAAAAATTAAAATTCAGCTAATAAAAAATTAACATAATGGTAGTCATTTTAAGCATAACTACCATAGAAATTTCATTAGTGATGAGAAAGGAAAATAATAAATAGTAGTTGATACTTACCAAATAATAAATGTTGCAATTATTATAAAACGGGTGTAAGAGAGTGTTGCAATTATTACAAAATGGATAATATATATATAAGTTAAAAGATCTCAATTTATAGTGTCAATATTAAAAATGATAAACGAAAATGATAAATGGATAGAATTGTCAATAGAGTAAGTCTACATGATGGATGTGGTCTTTCCATCCCATCCTCACCTATAAAATTATCATCCCTATATATATCCCCATCCACATTCCTAGAGCAGGTCCGAGTACAAATTCAAAATCATCCCCTCCTTTCCCCTCATTTGGATATCCAAACTCACCTAATCCCCACTAGGGATGGCAACGGGTCGGATCTGGACCGGGTCCGGATAGACTCGGATCCAGATCCATTTTTCTACATTGGATCCAGATCCTACCCGGATCCGTCAGGTCTGGAAGATGGAGATCTAGATCTAAATCCGACAAGTCCAACAGATCCGAGTCCGGGTCCGGGTCCAATACGTTTTGCCTAATTTCTTGCAATAAATGTAATGTTCGGGTTATAAAATGCATTTCAAACTTTTGTCGGGGGTTTATTAAGATCAATCTAAATTAAAGTTATACAACTAATCCAAAACTACAAAGCAACCAACTTATACACTTCTCTTTTGAAAAAAAATATACGTAGTGTAAACAATGGAAAAAGTACGATGTTATAAATGAGCAAGCAAAAAATAATGATGATGTATCCGATATGAGCATCCAAAATCTATCTTCATCACTACTAACATTATCAACATTTTTTTTATAAGATCAACATCATCAACATTTTTAACAAGGAAACAAACAATTATAGTTTTTTTTATTGGAAAATTATAAAACGGGTAAACAGATTTGGATCCGGGTTTGGGGGTTAGACCCGAATTCAGATCCGTTTTTTTCCAACAGGTCCCAGATCCGACCCGACTCCGTCGGATCCAAAATTTGAAGACCCGTATCCGTGAAAAACAGATCTGGATCCATGGATCCGGGTCGGGTCCAGATCCACTACCATCCCTAATCCCCACCCTTCACCGCCCCTACTAGCTATCCACCTAACGCTGCCTAAAAAATACAACAATACTTCATACTTAATTTTCACGTACAACAAAAATCACTTATTAAGTTAATGCTTTCTCCGTTCCATTAATAATGCACCAATTACCATTTTGCAAGTTTCACAAATATTGCAGCATTACTATATATACACATGTATTCTTTCTATTTCTTTCCTCGTCACATGCATGGGTCCCTATATTTAGGAATGTCAATGGCGGGGCGGGGCGGGGCGGATGTTGTCCTTCTTCCCATCCCCATCACCACCTAAAATTTTCATACCCATCCCTATCCCCATCCCTGCGGGTCTAAAATTCATCCCCATTCCTGCCCCGACGAGTACAACTCCAAAATCATCCCCACCCCACCCTCCACTTGGATATCCACCCCCACCTAAGACCCGCCTAATCCCCGCCTCCCAAATACATAATCCTTCATAATTAATAAAGATTACAAAAAGAAAAAATAATTGTTAATATTACACATTTTTTTTGTTTATAATATAAGTGTATACTAAGTATTATATTTACTATTTTATTTTACATAATTTTTTTATATAATAGTATAAAAGTATATAATTTTGTTTTTAAAAATATATGGATATGGGGATGAGATGAGTACAAAGTAGGGTAGATACAACATAAAATTCACTCCCGTCCCATCACCCATAGTGGCTTGATATTACATATAATGCCTATAATCACTATTAAGAAATTAATATTTAATACTTCGTATTTATTTTTGGAAATAAAATTAATGTGGATATTGTAAAACGAATCCCCAAATTGTGTAAGTGCCTCAGCTTCTATCACAAATGACTAGTTGAAATCTTTAGAAAATGATAAAAATATTTGTATATTAATTCAATAGTATTGAAAATTGTTATCACATAAAAAAATTAACATTTATAAAGCTATATGGTATTAAATTATCATGATTATGACTTAAAAAAAATAAAGAGTATGAAAAATATAATCATTTTAATCATACACTCGTATTATTTTTATAGATGCTGGATAAATTGTTAATAAAAAAATATTCTAAAACTTGTTATAGTACTAAGTCATAAATAATTGAATATTATGAATTGTTATTTGTTAATACATAATTTAAATTATGTTTTAAATAATTTTATGCATTGTGATATGTGGATAAAAATGATAGATTAATTATTGGCATTTGTGAATGATTTAACAATAATATATGATTAAAAAAATCTAAATTTGAGATAAAATATTGAACATAATAATGTGAGAAGTTAGAATTTTGATTAATTGGTATATTTATGTAAATGATTTTTTTGCTTTCTTATTAATAAAATAGTTTTAAAATTTTGGAAACTCATCACAATATTATGCAAGATTTCATTTTTTTCTTATGGGCAATTCGTATTTCATGGAAGATAATTTGGATAGAAAATATTATGATTAATCAAAGAATTTCATAACATGATCATGATTTTGATTCAAGTAATGTTAATATTCAGTACTTCTCAATTCAAGATACTATGAAGAAATCTTTAATTCTTAGTCCATGCTGTTTGTAAATTTTCATCTCTTGACTAATGTAATGATCATAATTTGGACAGTTATATTTGCTGATAAGTGAAATTGTCATATTTATTTCAGGAAGTGATCCTGATACAGAGTTAAAGGTGGAACTGTTGCAACCCAATGCTGAAATTACCCGGTTTCCTGATCTTGTATTTTTCTGTGAGGCCACTATCCTGTCTGAAGCGCTGATGAAGATGATCAATCACCTTGAAACAAATAGGAAAGATGAACTAGGTTCTTAATCTCTCCTTATATTTTTTTCATAGTAAAAACTTTTGGTTAAATTGATCATTTAACATCATATATATATATAACACATTTCTCGGCCTTAATAACTATCATTGCATCTTAAGCTTTTGGTTAAATTGGTACTTAAACAGTTTATTAATTTGCTTCATGTAATGTTATCATATTATTCATGAACTGAACTAATTTGTTCTTATTTTCATGTTTTTATTTAATTTGTTCATGTAATCAGTTTCAATGATCATAGCTGAGAGAACTGTGAAAGCTGAAATAGGATATAAGCCTTTGTTTGACGAGTATGAGTCTCAGGTAATGTTCGAATCTAATGTTCAATTCAAGTGGATGTGATTGATCATGTAGGTGGTATGATACTGATTTTGTGCTACCTGTACTGTGGGTTTTGCAGATGGTTGCAACTAGGGGAATGTCACCAGGGCAGACACATCAAGCTTGGTTTCGGCTGCCTCACTTGGAGGTACTGAAGAAAGCATCAGTTTTAGTACCTGGTCTGCTGCTGTGTTTTGTTTTTGAGCCAATGGATAGCATCTTAATACGATTCAACTTCCGAGAACTTGGTGATTTGGTTTTTATGAGCAAAATGAGATTGATCCTCCCCAACAGTGATAAGGTCCAAATGCTTGCTTCTGCTGCTGCTGCTGCACTCGCTTATAACAGAGAGTAGACTGAAGTCAGTTTTCGCCAATTCTAGCTGTCAACCGCGGGAATTCTAGCTGTCAACCGCTTGAATTGGCTTTGATGTGCAATTATGCACTTGTGGAACATGGTTTGTTTGTTAGCTTTGCAAGTAGTGAATCTACTACTAACTTTCTGGAAAGCTGAAAAATAAATATGACTGAAAACTATATAAACTTGATATCTGGTATGTAGGGCTTTGAACTTGTGGATGATGATGAATTTTCAGAACTTGCATTGATCCTATTGTTGTTAATTTGGCTATTTTTTTGACCTGCACCTAAATAAGAAGTGTTTAACTGGAGTGTTGGAAAACAGGAGTTGTTCTGAACTTCTGATACAGGTAAAACTTAGCTTCATCCTAGAGGCTAAATCATGCACATAGTTTACGATATAAAGGGGTGGGATTGGAATGGAAGCTCGATCCCACTTCGTTTACATAACTTGTATATCTTTGTGGCTAATCTGAAGGTTGTGACCGGAAGTGGTATTAAAATTGTACATATCATATTGCTTTAATTTCGTCGGAATAGTGGCCTTTGTGCAGTGACTTGTAGGCTATTGTCATAATTTATACACTCAAATACAGGCATATATCTCATCTTGATAGTTTTAAGACTTTTGACCAGACAACAACTCTTTAAAAATCTTACAAAGTAGCAGTTTCAGCCTCCACTAATTTCATGACTAGAGTTGACCTTGAACTCTTAATCAAGCAAAACAAGGTTAAGCTTAAGCAGCTAATTTTTAAGCTGTTTCGCCTAATATCAAAATCAGTAGTTGCTGCTACAAATTGCTGTTGAGAATTTCAGAATCAGCTTTTTTTTTTTTGGCTGCAGAAATAAGGTTTATTACTACTACAAGATAAAAATTAACAACAGCTCAAAAGCTCAATAGTACTTAGTATACAATTAAGCATCCTACAATGGAATTAGGAATTAAGTTGCGCTAAAAAAAAAGTACTAGTACATATGCTTGTAAAATACATAACCAAATGTTAATGGTTTGATCTAGTAATATAAATAGGAAGTTTACGATACAGGAAGGCAATAAAACAGAACAGGCATTATGCATCATTAATTTAATTATCCTGTATACTTAAAGGGCTACAGGGTATCTGTCAATGCAGGAAAGCCATGGATTCCTGGAACTCGGCTTCCTGATGCGTCTGACAGCCTTCCAAACAGCACTGTTGCACTTGAAACCTGACCCAAAAGCGAGCTGCCAAACTCGATCCCCTGAATGAATATTCCCCTTGGCTTCCAAGTAGGCCAACTCATACCATATGCTGCTGCTAGATGTGTTTCCAAATCGGTGCAGAGTCATACGCGAGGGCTCCATGTTGGTGTCACTCAGCTCTAAGTTACGCTGCAGCTCGTCTAGCACGTTCTTGCTTGCAGCGTGCACGCAGAAGTGCTCGAATGCTAGCTTGAAGTCTGGTATGTAAGGCTTTGAACCTGAAGATGATGATGATATATTATTACCAGTACTTGCACTGATCCTATTGTTGTTAATTTGGGTATCCTTTGGGCTTCCGCCGAATAAGTAGCGCTTAACTAGAGTGCTGAAGAACAGGAGTTGTTCTGATACAGGTAGCACCAGTGGTCCTAGAGTGGTTATGTTGGTCTTGAGTGCATCGCCGCCTATCTCCATCAGCTCGCGGCTCACCTTTAGGCCTTTAAATCCTCTTTCATCTTCTTCTTGATACACACTCCTGTTAATTTTGGAATCAATTAATTAGACAGTGAAATTAAACATATAATGGTGAGTAAAACTCAACGCATGGTAGTCATATTTCAAACGACTACTAATAGAATTTTCAAGCTATGTATATATACCTGAAGCTGCGGTCATCAGCACCCTTGTGGGTACGAACAACATGCTCAAGGCGGTATTTGGCACGAGGGAAATCACGACGACGGTTAGAAAGCAAGACAGCAGAGCAACCCATACGAAAGAAGCAGTTTGGAATAAGCATAGATCTGTCATTACCCGGGTACCAGTTAAACCCAACCATTTCAGTACTAACCACAACCGCGAAGCTGTTGGGGTTAGCCTGAAGCATGTCTCGAGCCAAGTCGACAGCAATAATACTCGCGCTACACCCCATTCCACCGAGGTTATAGCTCAAGACATTGCCCCTCATCTTGTAATGGTTTATGATCATGGCCGAGAGCGAGGGTGTGGGGTTAAAGATGCTGCAGTTCACTACTAACACACCAACATCCTTAGGACGAATTCGAGTCTTTTCGAAGAGCTCATCGAGGGCTCCAAATATGACTGTCGACGCTTCCTCTCGACCTTCTTTCATGGTTGTTATGCTGTGCTTTGCTGCTATGGATTTTGGTACATACGTTTCGTCTCCGATTCCTGAAGACTCTAAGATCCTTCTCTTGAATTGCAAGTTCTCTTCATCAAACTTGCCTGATTGACGAGACATCTCTATGAACTCTTCCTTGCTCACCTGCAGGAAATTTGATGATCCATTTCATATGTTAGGCCACCTCAAAAGTCACTATAAATTTTGCGTATTCAACTACAACACAAAAGTTATTTTTAGTAAGATGAGATCGGCTACATGAACCAAGAATCTATTTCTCGTAATCATCCATGAAAAACTTGATCCTATTTTCTTCACTTTTATCTAGTGTTTTAATAGAGTGGGCATGTATAACACATCATAATTTATACCAATTACTTATATATTAAAAGGTCCCCATATGTAATTTCAAGGGCAAAAAGGAATTTTACAATAAGTACACAAGTTGTAGATCCATTTCTAATTGACGTAATCCTATTTAGAATTTTATAAATTTCAGTGAAAATTAGATCTAATATGTTTTTTTTTTTTTTTACAATAGCAAAGGAGAATATGTTCTTGATTATACAAGAATAAGCATGCATATACTTAATTCAATGCGATATATGGTTTTACAATATCAATTTTCTTAGAGAGTGTACTTTTTTTCTAATACTTAATTAAGTAATTAATGTTACATTAAAAATTACTCCACACAAAAAGTAAAATAGTATAGTCATTTAGTAGTGGACAGAATATCAATTGACTTATTAAACTATTTTCAAATCAGATAAAATCGACTTAATTTCTAAAACAACTTTTACTTTAAACCAGACTTAAATACGGAATACATTTCCTTATTATATCACATAAAAATTCTAGATCCGTCACTGTTTATCAATAATTACACATGCACTTAAGAAAAAAAAAAATTAAAATATATAGATAAAAAAAAAATGTACCTTGAAATCATCACTAGGCTTGTAACAAGCGAAGTCAAGAAGGTAGATAGGACGAGGCCGAGACATGAAGTAAACTGAAAGAGTAAAAACAAACACCCCAAAAGAAGCAAGAACAGTAGCAAGATCATAATCCCACAATTTCTTCCACAACTCTTCTCTACTTAAACTACCAACTTCTGCACTAAACACCAACACCAAAACTGGTATTGTTGCCAAATATATTGCATGATTTATAAGATAATGATACCCCAACTTCACATACTTCAAATTCACCGAGTTCACAAAATCCGGCAACGGCAACCTTCGCCTTACACGTACCGAAAACGTATCCGTCCCTCGGTTCACTATCTCCGTCGACAACAACTGCTGCTCTTCCGCCGCAGTTGCTGTCGTACTCGAAGGTGGTGCCATAATAATGCACTATAGACGAGATTCGACCTCAAATCTTAGGTAGCAATGCAACCCCAGTTAAATATTTAGCTAGCTTTGGTTTGAGTTTGGTTTAAGTGTATATTTATAAAAATGTGTGAATGTGTCACATTATATATATTTGGTTGGAGTTTGATTACGTGACTAACTACAAAACTGTTTTTAATTTATTTTCAATGATAAAATTAATATTTTTGTTCATTTATAACAAAAATACAACTTAGTTGGGACATGGTAGGTGGAAGATGGTTAATGCTCTCACCCAACCTTATTAAGGGTGTTCAGTTGGAAGCTCAACGCTCTCTTTTGTACACTAATTTCTCTGTATTTAATGGATTTTGGTGGGTGCTTGTACTATACTATACTACTATCCCTTCTCTATTTTAATTCTTTAAATGCTGGTTGAGTGTAAGAAATTAATTACGATTTATTAGGCCTACATATATTTCCGTTCTCACGGGATTATTTAATTCACGTACATCAAATTAGGTTTACGCAATTGTTGATGTCAACTAATTTAATTGTTTGAGTCTCGGGGGTGTCAGTCGTGTCACCTTAGACTTACTCGTTGGGATTGTATATCGTCTACATCATTGCCTTTCAGTAAATGTTTCTGAGAAAAATGGAAAAAAAAAACAAAAAAAAATATTATACAATACCTAAAACGTTTTAGTTCTAATTTTGAGATGAAGTTGAATTTTATCTGTTTACCTCAATTTATATTTATTGATGATTTAAAAGCGATGTTCTTGACGTCTCGATTTGATGTTTTATAATAGGTTGTGAAATCCAACTTAGCACCACTAAAAATTTAAGATTGTGTTTATTAATATCCAATTTTGGTAAGACGCCATTTTTTTTTTTTTTTTGGTAAGACGCTATTTAATTGTGTAAGTGTTAATTTAATGGCGTAGTAATGTTGAAAATTGGCGGATGATTGTTGAAAAACAAATACTACTAAATACACATCTATCTATCCGTGCCTTTCTCAACCTTTATCAATCTCTCTCGGACCATTCTTTGACAGTTGAACTGTATCATTTATACGTAAGTTGGTTGACAGGATGAAAGCAATTTATATAATTTAGTCAATACCTGCCTTCTTCATTATGCAATGATCCAGAAGCTGAGTCTTACGGATAATAGAGACAGATTAGTGCTAAGGATAGCGCAAATTAGATTTATGGACCCGAGTGCATATTAAATACTCTATACCGGAAAACACATGTTTATATAAAACAGTACATGTAATGGACATGAAATATATTATTTTATTTTATAGCGATACTAGAAACAAAAATAAAAGGACATGAGAAGTATTTATCTTATGCTTTCTATCACAATCATGTTATGTTTATTACGTGTAACACTTGTATTTAGGCGTTGGACAGCTATATTAAAGGGCGGAGCCAATTCAAATGTAGGGTATGCACTTGCATTACATTCCTAAATATTGTTTACAAAATTTTGAAGTAGCTTTAAGCAATAATTTTATTGCAGCTTGCTAGTTTGTCCAAGCTAAGCATGATTTATGATCTCTAGCATGAGACTAATATTAGTTCTTAATGATGACAACCTTGTTAGCCATTTATTGGGTCCAACAAATAATACACCTTCAAATCTTCAATCTTCAAACTAATTTTTAATAAGCTTAATTTTCCATAAATTATTTATTAGTCTAAATTTTGATAAAGAAAAGCATAATAACACCTAATAATGAACTAGAATCACTCAAGTATAGGATGAGATAATTCAATACTTATTAAAAACGGCGGGTTTTAGTTACGGAGTATCATTTATATCAATATCCTTATTTATATTCGTTCTTGAGTATGCATGCCACTAATTATATGTAAGGGCGGACAAAGAAATTTGATAAAAAAATTTGGATACATGTTGTGGTTTTATTTGATAACATTTTGACTTTTGTATCACCATCCACAACAATTTAGATACGAGGATTATTAAACATCACCATCCACGATTATTCAATTTATTCATACAATAATGCAAAAAATAGATGCAAGTAATATATATAATCAAGTTTTAGATTTTTAGAAGTAATTTGGTCATCTAACTACCAAATAGGGTAGGTTCTATTAACTAGATTTTCATTTACATATCTAAACTTATAAAGGGTAGGAAAAAAATGATCAAATTGAACCGGGCCTAAGTTAAAGAATTATCGCTTATAATATACAGGAGAATCAAACAATTGTTCAAATTATATTACATCATTTAAATTAAGATAAGTTAACATATATAATGGTTAATAGAAAAAATAAACACAATTTTTTGTATACGGCCTGCTGTACCGTGCGGCAGGGGTTATTACTCGGTCAGGGGTTACTCGAATTGTCGAGGTTACTCGAGTTTAATTTCTCGGTCAGGGGTTACTCGAGTTGTCGGGGTTACTCGAGTTACTCGGTCATGGGTTACTCGAGTTGGCGAGGTTACTCAAGTTACTCGGTCAGGGGTTACTTGAGTTACTCCTGACCGAGTAACCCCTCAAATAATCCATGACCGAACCCCTCGAGTAACCCCTGAACCAAGTAACCCCTCAAGTAACCCTTGACTGAACCCTCAAGTAACCCATGACCAAGTAACTCCTGATCGAACTCCTTAAATAACTCCTAATCAAGTAACTTGAGTAACCCCTGACCGAGTAACTCGAGTAACCCATGACCGAGTAACCCCTAATTGAGTAAATCGAGTAACCCTTGACCGAGTAACTCGAGTAACCCTTGACCAAGTAACCCCTCAAGTAACCCTTGATCGAGTGAACCCCTCCGAACCCCTCAAGTAACCTCTGACCGAGTATTTCGAGTAACCCCTGACTGAATAACTCGGGTAACCCCTAACAAAATAACTCGAGTAATCCCTATCACACGGTATGACCTGCTGCACCAAAAAGTTGCTGAAAAATAAATTAATATTAAACTAATTAGGCGCTACTTTGTTCTCATCAATTATATTTCCAATTGTTTCTGGGAAAAATGTACATAAAAGTTCAATTAAGATAAGTTAGTTGCCAGAACCGGTGCTACACCCTACACCAAAGCATGGGCCTTTTCTTTGTCAATTGATTTTGAATTACATGGCTGGAAACATATATAATTTTAATAAGGGTTATCCAAATTTAAATTACAACTAAAATAAGGTCAATTTTAGATTAGTTCATATAATTGAAAATCAAGTGATTAAACACATTCTTAGACTTATATTCGAATATGATCAAATCATGAAAATTAAGGTGAATTAAACAAATCTAAACAAGCATGAAATCTCAATCACTTTTGAGTTGCTCAAGTGAAAATTAAATTCTATGACCAAAATTCCTCCTCTCCTCACGACGAAAATATATATTGGATTGGATTTTGGATTGACTTTGCCTTGGACCAAAGAGAAAGAATTCGACCTCTAAGTTAAAAAAACAATGCTTAATTTTTCAATTTCTGATCTAGTTTGGTCCCTGTATAAAATTGATTTTGGACAGAAACGATTTATAGTTAAAAATTATGTATAAAAAATCTAAAATATGTCAATATCAACTATTATATGGGGGAATTGAAATGATTTCATTTATGAATTGTTTTATACTTCTTATTGAACATTTTATTTTCCGTATTATTAAATAAATGTTTATTTATAGAAAAAAATATATATAAATTGATCGAATAATTGGTTCGGAATATTGGTCTAATATTTAAAATTCCCGATCTCCAATCTGGTTCAAGTTCGATTTAATTTAGTCCAAATCCGGTCCTGATTTGGACCTGCCCCACGGGGCTCTCTTTATCCAAATTTAGGGTTCTTAGTATGGGCGGGCAATTTGAGATTTCTCTGAAAAAAAAATTGAAATTTAAATCTCACTTTTAAAGCTCTGAGAAACAACAAGTAAGCAAGCAAGAAGAAAATGGGGCAAAAGTGGGAAGAACAAGAGCATCACCCAGCAGTAGACAGTTTAGTCACTCTCTTCATCAAAGCTCATCATGATCTCTCTCTTCTTCACTTCAAACTCGACAAAGAATTCCAACAAATTTACCCAGATAATGTTAGTTATTCCCTTCTTTTCTCTCTCATCTAATTTGAACCTTTCTTTAATTTTATTGAAATGGGTACTTAAAATTTTACTTTATTTTTTCTGGGTATGAATTATTTATTGAAATGGGTATACATTTGATGAGCCTTTTTTTTTTTTTTTTTTTTTTTTTTTTTTTTTTTTTATAGAATTGGGTACTTCAATTTATACTTTTTTTGGGTATGAATGATTTGGTGAAATGGGTATAATTTTGATGAGAAATTTCGTAATTTTGTGAATGTTGATTTTTTCAGGCTAATCCTATGAAACTTGTGGGTCGGATTAAGAAAATTCAGGATGAGCTTTCTTCTCTTAAAGATCAATGTCGCCAGCTTCTCACTGCTAAGCAGGTTTCCTTTTTGATTTGATTTTTTTCTTTTAAACCTAATTTTGCAATTAATAGCTTCTTTTCCGTTTAATTGGTTCTGAATTGAAATGGGGTTCTGTTGAATTTTGATTTGATTTGCGTGTGAATAGTTTACCGTGCTTTTGATTGCGATGATTGCTTCCTGTCATCTTATGGATTGTTAATGATTGCTTACTGTCATTTGAATCAAAAATTAAGAAAAATTGTTGGTGAGATTCAATGAATTTATGTATGAATTTCAAATACTCCAATGCAGATGCTTTTTCAAGTATAAGTTAGCTGTGTTCAAGTATGCCATAAATTTTCTAAAAGCCAGTTAATTTGGATTTTTTTTGGTGCCTTTTTTTTGGGGTACAAATTATAGGAGTAAAAGAAGTTTGATAAAAATTGGATTATAAAGCTTGCTGAGTAACTGTAATGCGTGTTGATCAGTTGATGGACTTTATAACTCAAGCTAGAAGTATCGTATCGTGGCCAGAGTTTATACACTGCTATAAGGTATAAACCACCTGGATGTTCGATATAATATGCTCATGGGGATAGATTGGCAATTCACGAATGTTTTTCTACAAATGACGACTTTTTGAAATTGCTTGTAGGTTTATGCATACATGTATTTGATGTTTTCAGCAACATATATATTCATTTGACATGATTTAAGTATGTAGTTACTGAGGCTTTTTATCTTACAGGACTTAATTGATAAGGCGACTTCCATTCTTGTTGGAAACAGAAGCATGGTGCAGCGCATGCAAGCATCTGTTGGAATTCCAGTGACTGATGATTCTGAAGATGCTGCCTTTTCCAGCTTTAATCAGGTCACAATTGCTTATGCTCTATTTCCTAGAGAATAAATATGTTTAAAAAGCTTCTGATATTGTGCAAAAACTAGTGAATGTCTCCATTTCCCTAGACTATTTAGGGTGGAAGCCTCTATATAACCATAGAGGCATTTGGTGGATGTTGATGCTCTGCTATAAACTAAGTACTCTTGCAATGAAAGGTTAATTGTGGAATTTGCTAATAGTACAGGCAGAGAAACATTTTCCTAATATTTTTGCTTTCATTGATTACAGTGTCTAGCTGTGGTTGTGTCAATGTGTTTGTTGTTTCCAATTCCTTCAAGAGTTTACGGTTGTCACTTTTCCAAATGGTGTTTAAAGAATTTACACCACTTGCCAGCAAGCAACCTAAATTAACTTTGCAAATGACGAGCTTTCTTAGTAACTGCTAGCATTAAGCATCTGCTCAGCAGTCCTGAGGGGGTTGAAATGCTTGTCCTTGCTACATTATTTCTCTAGATACTCATAGCTTCTGTGTTTCATATATGCATAGCAACCACCAATAAGCCTAGATGAGCTAACATTATAACCTCTTGATTCATTTGTGCAGATTATCGATGAATGGACCACTCATGTCAGATCAAAAACAGGTATAGACCTTTGAATCTCACAATTCTCAAGTAAACTATTTTTTCCCCCTTATTCACTTTGCAAAGAAGCAAGTGTTGCTAAGTATTTGCTTCCTCTTTCATTTTGAGATTAATGAAAAACTCAGGTTGTTGTTTAATTATTTGTTTCCTTATTTATACATATCCAGTGTGATGCTCAAGTTTATTGGGTTAGGGGAGTTTTTTAAGTAAAAAAAGATTTGTCATACTATGCCAAAAAATGGAGCATGTTTGCCACGTCTCTTCTGATAGGGGAACACTTGCATCCTTTTCTCCACTTACAATTAAACACTAATAGGGATTTTTCAGAACTTCGTTGTTCAAAAGGAACCCATTTCTTGGCAATGTAGCTATTGATGGGGTTATCTCAGAACCAAATTTGAGAACTTGTGGTAATTTTGCAGGAAATGGAGGCAACACTTCCATGCCAGAGGATATCAACGATTTGTTGTTTGCATCAATTGTTCGGAGCAATTAATGGTGTATATTGCTGTAATGAGAGCAAAGGGATCCAGATTAATGACAAAAGTGATCATTTGTACAAATTACAGGCACTTGTTTTCTGCCCTTTTAATAGCTGTCTTGTGTATTTACTTCATGAGTTGATTAGCTTAAACTGGATCCGTTGATTATGGACCTCTTAGGTAAGTTGGTGAGGATTTATGTAGCAAGTGGGTGAGGCAAATAATTAGTATTGCCTAGGTAAATTTTATGAACAGGCTGAGTACGTTGTTGCCCATATATGTGAATAGCTGTATCTTTTGCTCTACTGATCTGTGCACCACAGATTCTGCATTAATTGTTATCAATCTTGCGGTCTTACCCATTTGGACTTTCATGTTTCTTTCAAGTGTTATTTCAATCTCCATGCTTCCCACCTCCCAAGACTTCCATTCTGTAACTCTAGTACTTTGAAGTTTTTAAATTTATCAATCATATGATTATGTTAGACTACCAAGACTAACATAATCATATTAATTACATGGTATGGGCCGAGTTGCTACTAGATGCCTCAATCTCCGAAATTTTTCGATTTTGTGTATTATAGATCATGCACGAAGGTGATTCCCAGGGCTCTCAAAGGGTGAAACTTTTGAAATGCCTTCGTTTTTCTTAGCTTGCCTTTGCACTGGCTTGTCTTAGGCCTTGTCTTGCCTTGCTTCGGCCATAAGGCAAGCCAAGACGCTACCTCAATTGTCAAATTTAAAAGTTTTTGAAGGATGAAATGTTTTTTATGCCTTAACCTTATGCCGATGCCCCATGTTAGGACATGGCTGGGAAGTAGCACAAGGACTTGGGCAAGTTCAGCAACAATGTCCCACACTATTGTGCCTTGACCCTCCCCTAGAATTTTTTAGCACCAAAGGCGCAACACTAACCTTGTTTAGCAGTATATAGGTTTTTTTAGGATATATGATTGAGGGAGGACGAATCAAAGCGATGTAGGGCAAGATTTTCAATAGAAAGCTTCAAAACTTTTTTTTTTTTTTTTTTGACGGCTAATTTATCCTTGAATAGGATTAAAAAAAAAAATACACATCGCTATGAATGCTTAGCAAGTTAGCAGCCGTAAGCCCGCAAGTGTGGCAACTTTTCTAGCACTATGATGCTGTTACTACTTCAAAACTTAATTTAATTTTCAACATGGTTCTTTCTCAATAATCTAAATAGTTAAATAAAATTACCAATTACGTAAGAGAATCAATTACCTACTCATGACAGTCATTAAATGTATGTTCAAGTTGCGTTATATTCATGAGATGTATATTATATGTAATCTATCTTGCTTGATATGCTGGTTTAAAGTTTCAACTTGCTTTCATAATCTGTCATTCTAGCATAAATTTGTCCGCAAGTTACCATCAAAGGCTTTTGTTGGCAGTCTTCGCAGTGCATCCAGCCGATAGCAGAATTAAAACACATTACTGCTTGCCAAATTAGAATACTTAATTTTTCTAGCCTCAGACTGAATTTCCACTTCAGATACACGGAGGCATAAATGTGGCAATGTAACAAGTAAAGCAAAAATCAGGGTCTAGTATTAGTTTTGTCAGAATTCGGTTAATCTGTTTGGATTTTCTGAATACGGAGAGCTTATGTTTATTCAACAGGGAAAAACACACAGGTGAGAAAACATATGGTATAAATAGGCAGACAGCCTACTATAGATTCATCAAGCCGTATTAGTACAGTATTCTCCATCTCGGAATCAAATTTGGTAGCAGTAAGGTCAGTAACTTGTGATCGACAGCACATGTGAATTTTCTCTATAGTCCATTTGAAGCTTGCATCTTATACGAAAGCTACAATGTTGCAACCACATGAAAATTGAAATATGTAACAGCCTAGGATAACACAAAATATACAAGTGAATCTACAATTATAGCTTTACACCAACACCCCCCCCCCCCAAAAAAAAAAAAACCCGAGCCTAGAAGCTGAAAAAAAATGCTGGCAACTAATCATTCGAAGATTACTTGCAGCTCACCATATTACGTATGGCATGCTATTGCTTGATCCAATGATTTTTTTGAGTCAACTGAAGTCAGTATTTCATCATGCCAATGTCACTCTTTTGCCTTTTGCATCCCTAGACTGCAGACAATTTATAAATTATGTAAGTCTTCAATTCACTCAACACGATAAAGTCACAGAAATTGAAGCTCAAGTGTTCGTGTCTCCAACATCAAAGCAAAAGAGTTAAATGTATTAAGTTATTATTCAAGTATGGTATGTTGAAGGATAAAAAAATCAGAAAAAGCATTAGTAAGTTATTGTGGGCAGGAGAGAGAGAGAACGAAAGTATTAAAAAATGAAATGGAGGACTATTAGTGGAGAGGAAAGTATTAAAGTATAGTTACAACTTTCCAAAAATAGGAATGGAGCACTTATTTTATAAAAAAAACGGCTGAAAATAGAAAATGAAGCACTGAATAAAAAAAAAGAGGGAGTAGCAACAAATTCCCAAAAAAAGGAGGGAGTAGCAACAAATTCCCCTTAAGGCATAATCTACCCCAAATATGGATCTTCAGATTTTCAAAGCTGTTAAATTTTGCCTAGAATGATTACATAGGTGTACAAGGCTTTGGCCTAAGAAGTCTTTGAGTGGTGAGAACCATTGAGCCTCAACTCTTAGTATTGTGACTTTTGACTTTCAGCTCTTCCCTAGTTTAATATGAAGAAATTCAATTTTTTAGAAGTGAATGAATCCACATATTTTATCTTTGGGCATCACACAGGCCACTTCACATCTTTGTGAGGAGGAAATTGCCCTGATGTATTCAGTGCATATTATTCTAAGTATTCAATGGTTTGAAATATGAAGCATATTTAAAAACAAACCTGTGCACCAACAGATCTTTTAGCGTCCAAGAATTGGTTATAAATGGCATAAAGTCTCTCTTTCTCAGACTCTGACACTGATGGTTTAGCCTTGGAAGCAATAGACTTTAGCAGCTCATCCGTAATTATAGGTGATTCTCCTGACTTGCCATCATATCCACTGTCAAGAAGCTCCTGAACCGCAGCTAATTGAGCATCTGACAGAAGGGCTTGAAGATCCGCACCACTAAATCCTTCAGTCATATATGCTATTGCGCCCAAATCAACATTATCTGCCAAAGGTAGCTGAGCAAACAAAATGTCAGGTAAATAATTTTGAAAATACTACAGTACATATTTTCACATCAAGAGCTGTATCCCCCAAGTTAACAAACTCTTATCACTAAGGTGTGATATCAACTTCTTCAGCTCAAAGGTGATGCTGAAAAACACACCATATAGCTACCAAAGTATCCTAAGAATAATTACTTGTAAACACCAACTGCATAGAAATTTCACAAAGCAAAGATGCATTTTTCAGCACTACCACCCAGTAGTGATTCTGCAGGGTTGATGTTTGGAAGAGCCACATTGACAAACTCGGTAGGAAACAAACTTTTACTAAAAAGCTAACAGAGGCCAAGGAAAGCAGCCATGTCATTTTCATTTTTTTTTGGGTTGGAATTGTTTTTTTTTTTTTTTGGAGGGTGGGGGGGTGGGGGGGGGGGGGGGTGGGGTGGGAAGGGGGTTTGTGGAAGGAATGTAGACATAATTGGCAAAGTAAAACTCGCACCTGATTGGGTCATGATAACTCTCAAAATGAACTGAAAGAGACCTTAAGCTAAGTAGTACTCTGTATATGTTACACATTGCAATATTCACAAATCACAATTGTATTGCCTAACTGAAATTTAGACATAATAGGAATAAGCATGCTCTTAGTTAGTTGCTCCTTTCCAGGTGCTCAATCACCCATTGCCAGTTGTCTCCTTTTATAATGAGAACAGGTGGAAACCATCTAATTCTTAACCAACCAAAAAGAAGGAATATGCTAATGTTGGAGGGAAGTTGTATGCTCAAGTGCAGAGTTCTTAAGTCAGAAATCCCAAATGCATACCAACTAATCTGAATGATAAAGGTGAGCATATCCCATTCAAAAGAGCTGTATTTAACACGGTTGGAAACTGAACATATATAAACATTGTCTTCTCCTCTTGCTCCCTTGAGTTCCTTCTCTTCATTTGATTTATTCACCAAATTATTAATGCAAAGGAAGAACAGAAGGAAACAGCTCTCAGAAGGGTCGATCCACAACACCATGCATCTCAAGATGATTAAGAATTATGCTTCTGGAAATCAATGGTGACTATGAGTCTATGACAACATACCAGTTTACCACTGCCACTTCCCGTTGAGTTCATGCTGTTAACCCAGAAGTTCCTAAAAGGATGGCTTCTATAACACACCACATTAATCACACGTTCACATCCAACCAATATACTAGAAAGAAAGTATCCTTGGTTTCTCTAATGCTTGCAACATTGTTGTTCTCTCGAGAAACTATTAAAACACCAATATAACAAGACTACTTCAGACAAGTCATTGCTTCTAAATTGTGAGGTTGTGGACTACATTTTCATTTTACTTACTTTCCCTTTATTTGAAAATGAATTTTTACCACCCAAGGCAAAATCTTATAGAAATAGAAGCTGGATAAGTCATCATTCAATTAGGTCATGCCGTAATGCTGGATGTGATCAAATTTCGACCAGAGGAAATCTGATTGCAGTATTTAACTGATGCAGACACAGGTTAGGGGTGAACTAAAAGGGGATAAAAAAGCATATGCACAGAAATGATGAAAAAAATAGCAGCTAGCAATGATAAGCTAAGTGTCCTTTATTTCAATAGATTGTTTAGGCATAGAGGAGACTAAGTGCCCTGGGGTTAGTTGCTTCTCAGGGTTTCATATCCCAAATTGTTAGTTTATTTAATGAATAGACTGAAAATAACGCTATTTACTCTTAGGAGGCTTAAAACAGCCAACTTAGATAGTTTATGTGCCCTGGGGTTAGTTGCTTCTCAGGGTTTTATGTGCACTAATCTTAGCTTTTTATAAGGATTATAAGATGGCTTCAGGTCATGCATGATATTCATTCCACTTAGCAGTAAGTTACATGATTAGAAATGGCAAAGAAAAGTACACAATCATTGAAGGTATAGGTTCAGAATTAAGTAATGGATAATCGGATAACTGGTTACATATTAATACTGCAGATGTAGCAAAGTCAGATATTATACATAACGGATATGGAAACATATCCTTATTTATGCTAATGCCTAGCAGCCTAGGCATGTATTGTACAAATTTTTTTAGCAATAGAATCACTTGTCAACAGGGGGGAAAAATTAAAGCTTTAACGAAAATCCTCCCAGAAAAGTCTATTTTTTGTTTATATCAACTTATAGGGGTAAGGTGTTGTAAATATGTCCTCCCAAGCAAGGACCAGATCCATATTGGTTGGTGATGGGGTTGGTGTCACAGTACAGCAAAGTTACCAACTTTATGAATGTCAGCAAAGCACTCGGAAGTCAGGAATGTTTCTCTGACTAGTATTACATGGTAATACCCCCCTCCCCCCCACCCACTCACAGAAGTCACACTCCCCACAATCAAAGATTTAGAATCTCAAGTAGCAATCTATGTCAGTAAACATTAGCATTCATTAGGCTTAAGACTAGGAGCCTAGTTGTAACATCGCATTCAGATTGTGGTAGAGGAAGAGCTTGTAGTAAATTTTGATGAGGAAAATTCTTGATGTAACTTTGTAATTGTGGTCATTTTCTAATGTCACCCCTATGCTCTTATCCCTCCCTGAAATATCTAAATTGGACAGCTAAAAGCCTAAAAGTGTTATGTTAAGCCGACAGATTAGCCCAATTCCTCTGTATCTTCCCTAGAGAACAATTTGGTAAAGCCCCAGCTTCCTTAGCCCATGAAGCTAGCAGCATCACTTTAACCCAAAGCAAACCACACCGGATAGTAACATCCTTTAAAATTTGACCATTTCAGCTAACCACATCGGATAGTAATACGACTAACATCATTAAAAATTCGACCATTTCGTTCTAACCAAACACACCACAAGATTGCCATCGCTGCATTACGCCAAAGCAACTTTTTCTCCTTCACTCCAAAACCCACAAATTGAATATGTAGTCACTCCTGAATGTTCGACAAGCACACCAAATAGTTTTTCAAAGATAGCTAGCCAGTTCACCGAGAAGGAAAACATGTGAGCAGCACTCACTATTAGCTCGACACAGAAAGCATATATTTAGTGAGATGCCAACTTTGGTCTATGGTTTGAAGTATATCACTATTCATGCTGATCCTTCCCAAAGCTACAGTCCATACCAGTGATTAAAAAGGGCACACCTAGGTGCTGAGGAGCAGGGCCTATGATTTCAGCAAGGCGCACAGGACAGAGCAGCTTGAGGATCACAACTTTTATGTTTCCAGATCTTCTATTCACTTTTTCTTATAAGCGCCCAACTTCAATGAGGCACAGGGAAACCCATTGGTGTGGTTAGAGCCTTTTTATACATTTATCCATGCAAAAGCTCTCAACTTAAGAAAGAATTTCACTTTCTAGATGAAATTTGATAGTGGAATGCAGGATATTTAGGGGGACAATTCAAACATTTGAGGAAGGACTTACAAGAAACAACGCCAAGCAAATCTCCCAAACACAATAGTATCATCAGCGCCCATTAATTGGTTAGGCAAGTGGTCACACATAGAAATGAGTTCCTCCAACTCTTGATCATGGGGGGCTCTAGTAAACTGCTAATCCCAACCATTCCCACAGAAGAAATTTGAAACTGGAGCATTACGGTATTACGCAACATATATTAGCAGTAAAGTAGTGGAAAACAGGCACCTTAAAGGCTGCTCTCCGATCCATAGATCTTTCCAAAATTAAAATTGCTTTCCTTTGAAATATATATCCAAGGACAGTTGTGAATCAGTTGGACAACACTTTAAACATTCCATGTTCCCACCCACTTCACACCATCCGTACAAAATTCGTATTTGGGGTCATCATATATACAACATTGTACTTGTATTTAAAAACTAAAGGAAAGGAATTAATAAAACCCCAAACCCTCTTTATATTCTATATAACTTCTCCAGATGTCCATGATTTTTTTCCTCGTTCCTTTTCTACTCTAGTACTTTTGAACTAATTTTTTATTTTTAAAATCTTAAAATAACAAATAACTTGATGCTAGTAATTTTTCCATCCAATTAAATGAGTTTTTGAATAGTTGGCGATTACAATGGAAAGGGCGGGAAAAGTGGGTAGCTTTTCAGGACATAAATACAGGTTACATCAGGAAATCTCTGTTGCTTTTGAATTATGATAATTTAAACCACCTACCTATTGCCTTATAATCCACAGAACAGTTAAAATATTAAGGAGAATTAATTTCAGATCTGAAAAACTCAAAACCATGATTAAAAACACTTACCTTCCTTGAGAGAACTCTAAGAATATCTGATCTTTCATGCAAAGAAGGAAAATCACAGAAAAGTAGGCGATCCAGTCGACCAGGTCGTAACAAAGCAGCATCAAGTAAATCAGGCCTACTGCTTGACAAGAAATACATTCACATCAAATTTTACACACGAACCAAAAAGAAAAAGAAAAAAGTGTATGTTATGAACTAACATAACTAGACATAATCATGGCCAAATTAACAGAAGAAGATGATGATGGTGATTAATAATCTGGGAAACAGAACAAGTGATCAATAATTATAAGCTTTTAAGTGGCTTGTTTCACTCCCAAGGCTAAACAAAACTAAGATAACAACTCAACAATCTGAATATCTTTCTCATTACTCTCCTTGATTTACAGCACTTTGATTCTCTTTTTTCTCACTTTTAACTTTTTGCCTTTTTCCTCAAGCTTCTTAAAAGGTTGGTTCATTACAGCATATAGCGACTTAATTTTACACATGGTTCACCTTCCCAATGACTGTTAACCCCTAAAAACTCCTCACTCTCCTCCCTAAACTAGATAAAATTGATCTTTTCACATTTTAACATGCCCCCTAGTGTTACATAAGCTTAGAAATAGCCTCTCTTCTCATCAAACATCAAGCCATAGTAACATAAATCCACTTAACCAATGCATGAAGAAATTCCAATCCGCACTAGTTGTCGCTGTGGATCTAAATTAACTGCAGACGTGATAGAAGTAGCTAGTGTATAAACATAGACCACACATTACAGAGTATAGATTTTAAAGCAAATTCCATTACAAAGTACGGTATATCTGTAGATATCGAGGAGTGAATACATTACAAACCTTGTTGCGGCAAAAACAAATACACCAGTTAAGACTTCTACACCATCCAATTCAGTTAAAAACTGCAATACAATGAGAAAGAGTTTGCTGATGTCAGAAAAAGCAAAGCAAATTTAACTTTCACATAACAGAAACAGACCAACATATTTCAATAGCATGAAAACATACCTGATTAACAACACGATCAGTGACTCCAGTGTTATCATGTCCTCTCTTAGGGGCAATGGAGTCAAATTCATCAAAGAATAGAAGGCATGGAGCAGCAGCAGCAGCTTTAGAAAACACATCTCGAACCTGAAAGAAAGTGAAACCATTAGAAAAAGTAAGAAGGAACACACAGACAGAGTACAGAAATCAACAAGATGAAGTTCATAATAATAGCACACATAATGATGATTGGTAATAAAAAAATAAAAAAAAAATTAAATCAAGTAAAAGCAGCATATTCCCTAGCAATTCAATTTGGAAGAACCTAGTGATAGAAAAAAGTATGAATGGAAAGCTTTCTCTACACTGCTAACAATTGTAAGAATGATGGTAGGTAAAGTATGCTACTGTATGACAAGTAGCGCAAGTGTGTTGCTCTTTCAATCCAATACATAACAATAAAAATTTATCCAGTCCAATAAGATTAATCATCAGACATAATAATGTTAATTTCAGTCACGATAGCTGTACACATATTAATATTTCCAAAGGATGCAAGTACAGACAGAATCAAGTTGATAAATAAATCAAATAGAAAAATCAAAGATAACTTCCACAAGAAAAGTAACCAAAAATTATTAAAAGTTGCTTTGTATTATATTCACCATATTCAGGAAAGCTGATCAACAGCTGGCGAGGAAAGAAAAGGAAAATAAAAGTATTTGTTGTTCTTACAGCTTGTTCAGATGCACCAATGTATTTGTTAAGCAGCTCAGGCCCTTTTATCGATATAAATCTGAGAGAAGAAGCAGCAGCAGCAGCCCCAACAAAGTGGGTCTTTCCACAGCCAGGAGGGCCATATAACAGAACGTTTGAGCGCATTCTTAAAGGAGATTTACCAAATATATGTGGAAATTTTGAAGGTAGTTCAATCATCTGTTAACAAGCATGGAAACAAAGAAATGAGATTCACTGGAAGCATTTAAATAAAGATGCTTCAATATTGTTAGTAGCAGATAAATAATTGCATAATGGCAGGTGACAATGCTCTCTATAGCTGCTCAGATAAAACAAAAATAGCCCAAAAGGTTGCAAATGCCTTATCACAATCAATAACCATTAAAGCAAAAGCAAAAGGGCAGTTCAAAGCAAAACTTCCATAATAATGACAAATTTCTATACACAAGGGGCATCACACAATGGCCTATCTACATCAATAATAAAAGAAAATTTTGCAAGAAAGTACCTTCTGAAACATAGTTAGTGAAATAGCAGCTCTTGTCTATATTATAAAGAATTTGTGAGAAAAGTAACAAGCACAACCAAGTTTTTTGAAAAATGGAATCTTTTTAGCAGAATCTGGCCAAAAATTCAAACTTTAGGTCATTGAACCTCATTTTATCCATCCTTTGTGTGTGTGTCACACACTCATTCATTTTTTTACTCTACACAGAATTCACCCATTTTCCTTATGATCTTATTCCTTCTACAGCTGATCTTCACATCTACTTATTAACAAAGAATAAAATCAGATCCAGTGATAAGGATTAGCAGGTCCAAATGTTTTTATTTAATGAATTTCCATCTTTCAGTGTGATGATATCCATATTACTGAGCAAATCTCACTTGCTCTATACTTCCTTGTGTCAGAAGACACTTCCTTATCCAATAACTGCGGTTTGAGATTCTGCTCAACTATATTTTCCTGAGGTCTAGTTTTTCTGGTACCATAAGACCATATTTACGCAATAACTTTGCAAGAACAATACCAATTGTGGATTTCGGTGCTCATTTTATTTCTTATTTCTGAGCAAATACAATTGCAGTTTCTTCTTTAGGGCTTGATATTGATTTGATTTATCCTCTTCCCCTGTAGCTAATCAATGTAAAATGTAAACATCTCTGATTTGCAAGATCTAATATTACATATACTATTTACATATATTAAGATTATAATTTGGTTTAGAAGTTGTTGATTGAATCAACATTGGTATCTGTATCTTGGTTAATCATGGCTTAAAGGAAGGGTAAATATTTGGGCTAGTTCATTTATATTGTTCAATCTTTTGGGTTGGTTGATGATTGTCATGACACTCAAACTGTTCTTTACGGGCATTTGATGAGTGGGAGTGTAGATGCAGAAGAAGAAAAAAGATAAGATAAAAGAGAGATGGTGGAAAAGATGGAGGAGGTAGAGAAGAACTGAGGTTGAAAGGAAAAGGAACAACGTCGAAGGACAAGGAAGAAAGACAGAAGGGGTTGAAGAACAGAGTGTAAGTCTTGCAGATAGATTATTTGGAATATATGAAGTCAATAGCTTGAAATTTGACTTTTTGGCCCAATTCTGGCTAAAAGGTTTCATTTTTAAGAGATATTGCTTAATGAGGTAATTCTCAAAACAGTGATGTTCCACAAAATTCTATAAGGTATTTTGTGACAGATTTTCTTTAATCCTTATTACAATGGCACGTCTAAGCTACAAGCATTAAAAGGTTAATTTTGGAATAATTGTCAGTGAACTCGAAAAAAGTGATGGATGAATCACATGCTTTTAAAAGCTTCAGAGTATCTAAAACATCCAACTGAAGATGTCAAAATATGTAGTATACAGTAACAAAATTCAAATTTTGTCATAAAATATGCTGTATAGGGATTGAAAACATCAAATCTTATAATTTGAAGCATAGTTATTATGCTAGAGCACAAGTTTTGAGGTGCTCTATGGAAGCAGTTATCGTAGTGTCCACAACTGTCAGTTTTCTTTGTCTTTAATTAAGTAATTGACACAAAATCAGGTGGATAGTATATGAAATCAAAAGATTCGCCCTAAATAACGTGACTCACTATTCCGTAAAACTTAGTCCTGGATCATCAAGTTTCACATTCTGTACTAGGATCAGATAAGCATTGTCAAATGTTAAGACACCAAGGACTCCACATGAACTTACATCTCATAATTAGCCAAAAGCTACAAGGATTAGGGTGAAAACATTCACCTCTTTGACGGCATCACGAACATCGCTGAGACCACCAATATCTTCCCAACCAACACGACCACCTTCAGATGGTGACTTGGTGATATCACGCATGGAAACTGGAAGAAAATCTTGCCTAGCTTGTGCAAAGTCATCTGCAATTAAGCTCGGGTTTACCCTATCCACTGCCTCTTGAGAAGGTAAAAAACGACCAATAGCAGCATGAACACTCCTATCAACTAATATACCCTGCAATGAAGCAATTAGTTCTTAAGATGCGAAAATATAATGCAAGGCTGGAAGCCTGAAACCCACAAGAAAAAGGAATAGTAAATGACAAGTCAAAATTAAAATTTGACAGCTAAAGTTTGTGGCTCCAAGTCTGGATACAGAATTGTCCAATAAGTGATATACACAATAAGGCAAATTCTCTTTTTCCTTTTCGCTCTACGGAGGAGGGAGTGGGGGGGGGGCTTGGAACTTAACAGCCTTTAGTTGGTACATTTAAGAAGCAAGCGTCTGATAAAAACAATTCCGAAGATAGAAGCACTCTGATGAAAGATGAATTCTGATAAGCTCAAATTGTATGGCAAGGAAAGAAAGAATCCTTAAATGGATCAGTGGCAATATCATAGCCAACTAATAAGCACATACTTTAAAGAAGAGGAAAAACCAAGTGCCCTGGGAAAGCAAATGAAGCACATCATGTCAGATATGCTACCACATCACAGTAACCCATAGCTTACCTGCTTTCTTGCCAATCATTAGCTCTAACTATTTGAGTTACCAATTTCACTCTTAAACAAACTAGATATCTATCATCAATCTTGTCATCTGTGGCATATGGACAAGAACTAATTTTGTTCATGGATCACTGGACAAGCTTGATAAGCATAATGTTCTGCAATTTACATTTTTAATCACATAATAAAGGTGTTTATACAAAATGTGTATTACCAGATCATATGCATCATATCCATCACATTTTGAGGCTACATCTAGTAACACATCCTCTGAACATTGTAAGGAACGTTTCTGAATTTCATGCCTCAAGATAGCCAGACGTTCCGAGGCAGAAGGAGCAGGAAGTTGTATGTGAAAATCGAACCTCCCTGATAGTTTTAAATATCCAAACATAAGAATCGAGGTACCAAATGAAACATAAAAAATAAAATAAAATAAAAAAGGAACAACATATTCCAATATATAAAATTTCGTTCAACAGAAAATGGAATTAACCTGAGGACCTCAATGACTGAGGTATGTTATCCAGCTCACGAACACAAGCTATAAATGCTAAAGGACCAAGGCTACATGACTGCTTCCTCTTCTCCTATTCAAAAAGAAATAAAACAGAAAACAAAAGAAGTTAGCCCAAAAGCTAGGCTTCATTGTCAACAAGATAAGAAACTCATTCTCTTCGTCCCCGGTGCATAGGGACGATCCCCGTTGCTGGAGGGACGCATTAGTGTAAAATGAATTTATCAAAGGCATCTTCAGTTAGGGAAAAATCTATTTAAAATTAAGCACTTATGGGATTTACTTTAAGCATGCATACCAACCTACCGAGTCTTTTTACTACTCTGTATGTACTAGCTTGTTTTATTGCTTTCTACTGTGGTATTTAACTCTCTTCAGCATGAACTTATGGTACATGTTTTGAATATGAGTTGCTTTTATAACTGAATAATCAAGCAAATCACCCTCTATAACCTAAATGCTCATTTAACACTTCAAGTATTTACTACGTCCTCACAAGCTACCGTAGAATGATCAATCATTAAAAGTTAGATAACCAGCAGATATACATTACCCCATATTCATCCATGATCCCAGTGATGAATTCCGTAAGCACAACCACAGAGGCAGAGGGTTGAGATCCTTCAGCATCACTCGAGGATGTAATAATGCTATCAAGATCATCAAATATGATGACAGATGGTGCATTATCCAGGGCATCTGACAGATAGTCACACAGCATTTGGCGGATCGACGTGACTTTTTCTACAGCCAATGTTGAGCAGGGTATGAAAACACTGAAACATGAACCTCAATAAGTTTTATGCTCTAAGAAGAGAGGCTGATAACCAAAGCAGCAATATATGTTTAGAAAAGGAGGAATCTCTTAAGAAGTTTTAGAGGGGGAAAAAGAGAGGGGGGAGGGGGGGGGATATTCAGAGACTAATACTGAATCCAGAAGAGTTGCATCAGAGTTCTAATGAAAATGCATACGTATGGACCAAGATGTCTTTGTTTTCTTCCAGGGATTTGGCAGCAGCTGAAGCTAAGACTGTTTTTCCAGAACCCTGGAAATCAGATAACAAGCTCAGTCAAGCACAAGCTGAAAAACTAAATATTATCAGATGCAAGAATATCATGACCAACTATCTCACTTTTAAAATGATAAGCTTTATGGATCTGTTTATCAAATAATCAACCAAATACAGCTCTTTAATTCCCATATTTTCCTCTAGAGCTCTGTTCTTACATTTGCATGCTTTCTATCTACCCCCAATGCCATAAATGAGGCTCAGCCTAAGAGGGGTGAAGAAGGGTTCAAATGTACACAGCTTCACCCGTACAAATTGCAAATAGGCTTTTCAAGTCTAGCCCTTACAATTGTAAAGAGCTGTTTCCAGTAGATCTAAATCAAAAAGATGACTAGAAAGAGTTATTTCTTATAATATGGAAAAAAGAAGTGCAACACCACTTAAGAGAAGATGCTCTTAGTGCATGGGATGAAAAAAAATAATATAATCCTTCAGTAACAATGATCAATCAAACTGGAGCCTTATCCTGAAAAAGAATATTTTTTTTAAGCCCCTTTTCTCCCAATGTGCACAGATGAGAAATCAAGCTTCTATTACCAAGGAAGGAAATGAGAGTAATCCTCCAGCATCAATACATGAAATGCATAAAACAAAGAAAATAAAGAACTCCTGTTATGCGAGAGATCACATGGAAGTGTTTTCAATAAGGGTCTGTCTAGAATTCTGTGTAAATGTCAGTCTAAATTTCTGTGTCAATGTCATTGGTGTTAACTGAAGAGGAAATAAATAACTTTTTTTCTGCCATATTGTTTCTTATCATTTACTTTTACAGAAATAGACAAGAGGTTGCATGTTGAACAGCACAAACTTACAGGAGGACCATACACTAGAACATGACCAGGTAATGGAAGGTTGAGATTACTAAGCCATGTCCCACAGGTAGGAGATAACAGCAGTGTCAACCCTGGAAAGAGAATATTTACAATTAGTAAACACTGAAAGAACAACTTAGCTCGTCTGGCATAAAGCAAATTAATTTAACACAGTTTGCTGCCTTAGATAACACTTTCGATACAATCCTGTGAATTGAGCAAAAAAAATCACAATAATACCAGGAAGCTAATAAAACAAGGAAACAGAGCAAACTAGAAGATAGTAATTTTGGAGACTACAAAAGTTCTACTAATCTCTTTAAACTGCTAAAAGTCTAAAGCCAAACACCGCCCTGATGATCTTCTTACATACAGTTAAAGACCCTATATATAAAGTGATGTACATAAATGTGTATCAGATAAAGAAGTACCTACTATTAATGACATCTGAAGCTGCAATACCCATCCAACTCAAAGAAGAGATAGTTGAAGTGGTGTTTTGGTTGAAGACACGGTTTTTGCAAGTATCATAAGACACAAAACTGTCCATGCTCAGATTTTCAGAAAGTATCCTCAAAACATCATTTACCCTAGTGACCTGATCTCCCATTGCGAGCTCATAAGCACTATACTTTTGAGCAGGCACAGATCCACCAGAGGCGTTTAACACATACAAGATCTCATTTACTGATTGTACCATCATTTTTGCATCCGTTAAATTGTCAGTTGATGACTGCCATTTATCACCAGACACATAACTGCTAGTTGTCAATTTGAAGCGAAGAAAAGTTGTAGGACCCAAAACCAATGAAGTAGCCTTTACTCCAGCCATTGAAGTAATACCATGAAACTGAGCTTCTATCCATGAATAGAGGAGGCCCTTCAATCTCTCTTTAGCATTAAAAGGGAAACCACTCTCCTTATTTGCAGTATCAGCTAATCCATCAAAAAGAGTAGAGATAAGCTCCTCTTGTGAAGTGCAATCTAGTCCACCCATGTCACGCAAAGACTGATGAAGTGAAGGTTTATCTTCTTGGACAAGACTGTCATCAAGCACCTCTGCACCATTTTGTTGAGGATCTTGGCTGTTTTTGTACGGCATAAACTGACTTGGGGAGAGGGAAAATGAAGGAGCATCTTTCTTCAGATGATTAGAATATCTTTGCATATAGATCCCTGCAATAACAACAATTTTTCCAAAATACTCAGTACAATGCATACAAAGTGCAGCCGCTAATTGAAAGAAAAAAAAATAAAATTCCCTACAGACTATTGCCGTAGTGAAGAATGCATACTCTGGCTTTTATTGAAATTTAAAACAATGGACATATACCACAAACAACAGCCATGAAAAAACAAACTTAACTTACTTTATCAAGGCATTTATTCAAGCCATATTATGGCTTTTTGATACTCTCTAGTCTCTGCGCATAGCTAGCAATTATATACAAATAAATTTGAACATAAGGAGTATATGTTAAAGTAATTGTGACAATGTGTAATCAAATTATATCAACACATCGATGAAAAGCCAATTCCAAGATATCCAAAGATATTTAAATTCCTCGAACATATAGGCATATCCAGAATAAGGGCATGAATGTTAATACAAAAGACAGCTAAGAGCAGAGTAGATATTATTCATCATATTTACAACAAACATACTGCAATAAAATCTAAACTTACTTTGTAAATGTCTGCAACACAGTTTGCTTGGTAATAAACCATCATACTACAATCCTAAAAACAAAACTAATTTCCTGAACCACAAAATGCTGCAAAGGTCAAGAAGGCAATCACTTTCACGCCTATCCACCAATAAAATGCTTTAGGAAGGAAACAACTTAAATACACCCATCCTTAAGAAGTTCAGCAATGAAAATTCCCTCACTTAGTTCTCAGCATTATAGCAAAACAATCGCAAGAAAACACTTTGTGTATTGAGTATTAACAATTACAGACTTGATAAATATGCCTAAATGTGAAACATAGCACTATAAAGTGAGTTACCCAATACCAGAGAGGTGACATACATGAGTGAAAGCTTACTCTCAGATAGCGACACAATGATTGAGAAATCATGATGTGTCCTTTAGCAACAGACTCAGAGAACACAAGACGAACTATAACGTAACGAGATTTACTCTCCTCTGATGATGGCTGCTTCCTCTGACTATTATTTCCAGTATTCTCCACTTTCATCTTTGAAGGTTGTCTAGGCAATATGACAACTACATGAAGAGAGTCAAACAAAAAGATTTTGGCTGTTTCTGGATGAATTAAAACAATAGTTGTTAGCTCAATCCCCACATTCCCTCCTTTTAAATGGCTATCATGGATCAACCTATTTTTTGGATCTTGAACACGCAAAAGCATCTTTTGGAAAGAATTAGATCCATCTAATGATTTCAAACTGGAGTCTTCGCACTGGTCAGCAGATTTTCTACGCCTCTTTGGTGCAACAGCAACTTCAGCTCCTGGCACAAGTTGTACTGCAATAATATTGCACAATAAGCAATTAGTATCATGAAATAGAAATGTCAGATTTCTTTTATCTTAAGGTTCAGATAGAAAAGAAAACTGAGGAGGCAGACAAAGATCTACACACACATAAAAACTGATCAAATAAGAAAATCATACCTACTGATTATGAAATGTTAATATCTCATAAGCACACACAGACACAAAAAAAAAAAAAAAAAAAAAATAAACAAACAAACACACACACACACACACACACAGAGAGAGAGAGAGAGAGCTATCAAGGAAAATTGAAAGTAATAAAAAATACTCCTACTGTCTTACACCATTTAAGCCAAAAGTAATATGCAATATAATATCTTTGCATGGAAAAGAGGATTTATATTCATTGCTATGACTATTGCAATACACACAACAATGAAGCGGTGTATAACAGTACTGTCTTACCACGTACTAAAGAAAAAGTTAATAAAACTACAGATATTAGTTATAAGTTATATGTTCGTCATCCAGATAAACGAACAGGTGTTATAAGCATTAAAAGAATCGAGCCAGAATTGCTAGAAACAAAGGAAATCCGGGCAAAGTCCATGAGGTTTTAAATATTCTAAATTGATTGCAAGTTTTAACAAAAAATAAAAACCAGTTTTAAATTTCTAGATTGATTAACTTAACATGGCAGAAAGTTTCCACTACAATCATTAGGTTTACAAACAGTTCCTCACTTATACCAAACATCTTAAATCCGAAGACTAACCTAATCATAAAATCAATATCGTTATAGAGCATATTCAATCATCAAATAGTTCAATTCCACAAATCTGCAACATGCAGAAGCACAATATAGACCCAAAGTAGGCAAAGAACCCGTAATCTCTTACCCACAGTTCTATCAGGCAACAATGATACCACGGTAAAGGTAACAATTCGATGGCCATGCAACCACAAAGGAAATGTCATGTTTCCTTGGATAATGCGTACCTATTAAACCACAAGACATTTTTTTATAAGCCCCTAATTAAGAAAATGAAAAACACGGTAGATTAATGGATATAACCAGTTACAGTGAAGAAGTTTGTTCATAACAGAATAACGATATAGCACTTTACAAGATTAATCTGAATAGTTTTAGATCATCAGATGTGCTCAGATACAATAAGTAAAGAACAAAAAATAAAATATAAATCACTGCCAGCTGTGGCATGAAATCTTGTGACTGAAGAGCAACTCTCATTGACTTCACAATCCACATATACTCAATCAACACTAGGTCTGGTTTCTCTAAGTAGTGTATGACCCTAGAATAGCAGTAGCTCAGACCTTGATACAGCAATTATACATCAGGAATAGATGAATATCAGTCAAAAGTCAAACGGCACAATTTCAAGATGGCCAAGGACATATTTTACAGCTTCTTCACTGCAAAAGAACAGGTTTTTTTCCACAAGTCCACAACACATTCCAGCTTGTAATGGCTAGTGGTAAATTGGTATTAGCTTTGTTGAATGCATTTGATACATATGGTGAAATTCACGTACATTGGGTAGAATGTTCAGCAACCAAGCAAAAGAGAGCACAAAAGTGACCCTCGTATATTAATAATGGTGAAACGAATCTCATGGCCAAGTGTTTCCTTTTGTATTTTGCTTGGTAATCTATAAGCAGGTTCACTCCTACAGTCCTACTGAGGCAGTAAAGCTCATTCAATATACTAAACGATAAAAACTCTAACTATGCAGTCAATACAAAACCAGTTAATTATCATGAAAAAACCCAGTAAACAAAACAAGAGGTGGAAAGACCTGATTCAAGATAGCAGCCTCGGCACTTTGAGCATTGAGCTCAACAACTTCCCAGTCATCTTCAGTAAGGGGTTCGATTGTGACAAGGCTAGCCTTGGGCACATTAGGAAGAGCTCTAACTTGCACAATTGTTCCATCCGGTAAACCAATACAAGCAGCAAATTCTTGAGCTATCTACAATAAACATTAAAACTTAGTACAATTTACTAAACAATTTTCCATACATGCAAAATACAAATTTCAAGGCAAACCATAATACATTTCGACAAAAATCCGAAACAATAATCAACAAATTCAAGTTTCCTAACAGCTCAGTTAAAAATCCTCATCTTTTTGCCTGGATTCATCATCGCTCAAAGATTTTGACAAGTTCAATGAAATCCATTTTTTTTTTCTTCTTTGCTGGTAATTAATCATAGTAATTCACCAAATTAAGCAGAATCAACCCAAAAAAAACGAAAAATTGCAGCTAAATTGCGAAAAATATCAGCAGATTAAAGCAAATAATTAATATACTGAAGAAATTAAAGTCAAAATTGAATCCAGTTTTTTCTCTTTGCTCATATTTAGAAGGCACAAAATCATAGTAAGCCATAATTAAGTAGAATCAGCCCAAAAAAGGAAAATTTGCAGGTAAATTCCGAAAAAAAATAAACAATTGGAACAATATTTCAAACATAATCCAGAAATTGAAGAGAATAAAATCAAATCAAAATTAAATACAAGTATTTCTCTTTGCTCGTATTTAAAGCACAATATCATCCTAAAGTCATCATATTAAGCAACATCAGCCAACCAAACCGAAAATTCGCAGATGAATTCCAACATAATCGAAATATTTATGAGGTAAAAATAAAAAATGAATCCAATCCAACGGCGCAAAATCATCCTAAATCATCAAACTAAGCAGAATCAACCAAAAATTCCAGATAAAATTCAGAAAAATATCATCAAATTAGAACAAAACTCCGAACAAAATCGTAAATTTGATGAAATTAAAATCAAAAAAAGGAGAGAAAAAAACCTCGATGGCAGGAGAAGAGGAGGAAGAACCGCACCAAGCGACATGCCAAAGACGGTCAACGGAGAGAGAACGAAGCTGAAGAGGGAGAAAGTGAGGAAGATGGTGGTCAGGATGAGTGGATTCTAGGGTTTGGAGGAGAGAGAGTGGGAGTGAGACATGGCAGTTCTCTACTCCCGCCACTGCTCGTACTTCCAACTCCATTGATGATTTTCTTTCTATTGCCTCTTTCTGTGTGTGTTTGTCCTTCACTTTCTTTCACTCTATTTCACACTATCCCATTGTGTTTTGTACTCGTAATTTGATTGCATATATTTGTCTATCGGGGCGTTTGTCAGGTGGAATGGGAATTTGGGGATATAAAGCAGGTGAAACGCTAAACATCGCCCGCAATTTATCATATAAAGCCCACAAATATGTTATGATTTGACCATTATGCCCTTTTTCTAAAATTGAAATAATCTCGGTGTAAAAAATGTGGAGCCGTACTGGCTCGCCGGGGGAGACCGGATGGCAGGCCGGAGATGCGGGGGACGCCGGAGGTACGTCGTCGTCGACGGAAAACGAGGTAAGTCACCGTTAAAATTCACGGTTTACCGTCGGAGTGGATCCGGCGCCTAGGGTGGACGCCAAAACCGTAGCCTGGACGTCCAAGCCGGACGCCAGAACCACCAGAGTGGCGTCCAGCCCAGACGCCCAGACGCCCAGACCACCAGAGTGGCGTCCAGCCCAGACGCCCAGACCACCAGACTGGCGTCCTGGGCAGACGCCACTCCACTGGGTGAGGCGGCCCTGCCAGGCGCCAGTCCAGTGGCTGTGGCAGCCCTGGCAGACGCCACCTTTAATAATTAAATTTTTTTTTTCTTTTTTGATTTTGTTGTTGTTTTTTATTTAATTTTTTTGTAAAAAAAAAAATCGAAAATGATTTTTTAAAAAAATTCGAAATGGGTTTTTTGTAAATTAAATTTGAAAATTCGAAATAGGTTTTTTTAAAATTAAATTTGAAAATTCGAAATGGTATATTTTTAAATTTAGTTTGAAAATTCGAATTGGGTTTTTATAAAAATTAAGTTTGATAATATATAATTATGTTTTTTTTGTGTTAATTATGTGGAAATATAGAAATTAAATGTATTATACGTTAAATGTATTTATTGTAATATATAATTGATGCAGGAATATGGTGGAGACGGAAATGATTACAGTGAGATATTTGGACATGATGGTCCATTCGAAGAAGCTCAACAGGCGATTGATTGGGCAAAACAAGTTGCAATTGCAGCTGGATTTTGCTTGGTAGTAGCAACTCATAAATCTCAACGGGATGGTAGAATGGATCGCATTTTGAGATGTGACCGTTATCGCAAAAGAGAAGAAAGAGATTTTCGTACAGCCACTCGGTTTGACACAAAGCGGAAAGGTTGTGGGTGTGAGTTCAGAGTAAAGGTTCGACAACTACGGAGTCGTGACGGTTGGGAAGTGATAGGTTACTCTAAATGGGGGTATCACAACCATGAGATGATAGTATATGAAGAGGGTCATCGACAACTGAGCGGCTTAAGTCCTGCTGCGAAACTAGTTGTGAAAGAAATGAGTGATGCTCAAGTGAAGCCTGCTAAAATATTAGCATCTGTGTTAGAGAAATTTCCAGAAGACCATCCAAACCGAAGACACATCTACAACGTCAGACAGCAACTCAGGTTTGAACGGTCAGAGGGAAGGAACCCTATACAGCAGCTGCTACACCAGGCACAATCACGTGGTTACCTGTTCTGGTTTGATTCTGATGAAGATACAGTGGAGGTGACTCATCTTTTCCTTGTGCATCCTGATTGTGCTGATATGATCAAGTCTTGGCCATTTGTGATTTTGATCGACTCAACGTACAAGACAAACAAGTACAAGTTCCCTCTGGTTGAGATGGTTGGGATGGCTCCAACGAACCAGAACTTTCTGATTGGTCATGCAATCATCAGGGATGAGACGGCTCCAAGTTATTATTGGGTTTTGGAGAAGCTGAGAAACTACATCGGGCCTAATGTTCATCCAGCAGCCATCGTCAGCGACTGTGAGGGAGGTCTCTTTGCCCCCATAGCAGAGCTGTTTCCCGAATCGAACCACTTATTGTGCACATGGCACATCAACAACTGCGTGAAAGTGAAAGCCTACAACCTTTTCAAGAAGAATTTGGAAATGGCAGAGAGATTGGTGAATGGTAAGTGGCGGAAGATCCTACAGGCTACCACAGAGGAAGCGTATGAGCGAGCATTGGCTAACTTCAGGGATTCGTACCAGTGGTGTCCGGCACTGGTGGACTATGTGATGCATCAATGGGTCCCTCACAGAGAAAAGTTTGTCAAATATTGGACAAACCAGGTACTTCATTTTGGGAACACTACAACATGTAGAGTTGAGAGCGCTCATAGAGCTACCAAGGACTGGATTGATTCATCGACCGCTGCTTTGGATACACTGTTCGCTAGACTGAACAAGTCAATTGAAACTCAGAAGAACGACATCAGGAACTCTCTAGAGGACTCCAGACGACGACATGGTACGATGTATAGCCATTTTAAATTTAAGATTCTCCATGGTCGTGTGTCGCACTACTGCTTGGGGTTGATTCTCACTGAGCTGAACAGGGTGAGGGACTTGGCTGACGAAGTGTATACTCGGTGTGGGTGTACTATTTCAGTAACTCATGGATTACCTTGCGCATGCACCATTCATCGCGTTATTACAGAAGAAAGGGCGTCGTTACATGTTGATCAGGTCCATTCATTCTGGAGGACGCTTGTTATTGGTGAGCATGCAGACAATCAAACGGCCGACCGTGAACAGGAAGAGTTGGAGCAGTTCCGTTCAATGTACGACCGAGTGTCCTCCAGCCATCCTTCTATTATTCGTGACGCTACTCATGTGCTTCATGACATGTTCCACCCGTCTAACTTAGATTATGAGGAACCCGAAGGAGTTGACCGTCCTCGAGGTCGACAACGGCGGAACAGGAGTGCGTTTGAGTATATCCGTGGTCTTGGTCGTGGTCGTTCTCGTGGACGGACATCGTCATCTAGTCGTAGTCAATCTTCATCGTCTGTGAATATGCCCCTGAGAACTGGTACGTTTTGGTTGTTTTTATTGCACATAGTTTTAAAGTGTTACTCCTGCCTTCTTAACTGTCTATAATTAATTATTTGGTGAATAGGAAGAAACGATGTTGATCAGTTTCCGTACAAGGAAAGGATACCTGCGATCATCATGTCGTACTTGGAAGGGTGGAATGATGTAATCGGAGATGGTAACTGCGGATTCCGGGTCGTGGCTGATGTTTTTCAAATGGGCGAAGACAACTACGGTTTGGTGCGTGAGTTGATGTACAGCGAAATTGCCTCTAACCGAAATGTTTATCGTCATGTGTACCAGGATGACTTGGATGGCGCTCTGCGGCGTATCCGGTGGGGAGGTGGACCTTGCGGCGAAAATCATTATTTTGACGCGCCCCTAGATCTGTTTGCCGTTGCAAACATTTACAAATGCGCAGTCATGCATTTCGGCCTGGGAGTGCATAGTCAAGCTTATTATCCTTGTACCACGGTTCTCCCTTGGCGGTCGCGTGAGACTGTCACCACACCGGTCAGAGAGCTAGCTATTGCGTTTCTTGGGTCGTCATACAGACATTTCATCCGACTAGACATGTCAACCGATTTTCCGGTGCCACCGATTATACCTCGGTGGTACAACATTCGCACAACGAGCGTAGAGGGTTGGGATGCGCTATATAATGACCGGATCCACGAATGGAACACCCTAGCTGCATTTTAGTTTTTCATGTTTACATTCTTTATTTGTAATCTTATTTGTACGTTGCTCTTTTAATGAGAACATTAATATTTTATATTGTATTGCTTACTGCATTCTATATGTTGTATGGGTAAGTTGCGCGGATCCACGAACGGTTATATCAAAATTTAAAAACAACACTGATAATATGTTTAAGTTGGAAGCTAAAAGAACAATCTAAAATGTTACAATTTTACAACATAATGTCCAACATAATGCTCTATAAATAAAATACAATAACCATCAGTAATCCCTCCTCGACGACGACTCCCACTGCGCAAGGGTCTGTTCCAGACTATCAACAACAGCTCTCCCTGTTGCACTCATGCTGTCCCCCAGAGGGCGGCCGCTGCAACTCCGCTGTCCATAAGCGGGCCACCATCGGAAACTGGTCCCACGTCCCGGTCATGATATCCGGCCATTCCACGACGTACTCCCTCGACGATGCAGGTCGGACCGCCTTCATCGGGCACGCCGGGGGAGGAGGGACAACTTGGACAAATCCAAGCTGGCGAAGACAACGCTGGGGCATGTACGCCTCGACGATGTCACGATACTGAATGAGTCCCGTGTACAGGGTCCTGGGTACCCTAACACTAGGGTTCGGGCCGAAAGGCATCCAGTTCACCTGTACAATAACAACATATAAAATTTAATAACATGAATATAATATGTGCAAATAATAAAATGTAGACTCTATAAATAAACGTTACCTCTAAGGGGGACAGCCTGTCCAGCAATAACCGTATCGATCGGAGGCGGTCAACGGACTTCTTCTCCGAGCGCGGACTCCACGCACAAGCACGCGGCATCCCCTCATCAATAGGAACTGGGTCACGATGTGGTCGCAATGCAGGAAAGTACTCGTATATCCAGGTCTGCAATAGAGTCAGACACCCAGTGATACCTGCCGCGTCAGCCCGACTCGCAAATCCTAGTTGGCGATACAAATACGCCAACGTAGCCGATCCCCAGGAAAACTGGCCTACACTGTCGGGGTCACACGCCTCTACGATGTCGCGTGGCCTGAGCTTGTTTCCGCCGCTCTTATCCGGAAACAAGGTACATCCGAGGAGTAGAAAAACATAAGCACTCAGCTGTGCGTCTGGCGTCCTACGTGCACTCGGGTACAAACACCGCTGCAACACGGATGCGATCTTCACACCTCCGTGTTCCCAAACACCTAGCGCCTCGGTGTACAGTGCAGCCCTGTCCACCGCCAACAACTCCGCCAGCGAATCTGCCTGATCCGCATCAGCCACAGCACAAAGTCGTTTACCCTCAACACGAATCCCCAGAATGGCCTCGACGTCATGTAACATGATCGTCATATCACCGAACGGAAGGTGGAAAGAGTTTGTATCCGGCTGCCATCGCTCAATGAAAGCCGTGATCAGCGTACTGTCAATCTTATCGTGCATGGTGGCAGGAACATGCTTCACCCCAGTGCCCTCCAGTCGCTCGAACATCTCGCTCTCCGCCGGCCAGGCCTCAGCCCATGTACGCAAAAAGCTACAAGTCTTTTCCCGGGTATGACATTTCAACAACCCCGTAACTGAAGGCCTCTCCTGGTCCTCCCAAATACGGGCAACTATGTGTCCTAGAAAGCTAGGAATCACACTCCCGTCAACAGGCCCACCGGGCACCTCACTCCTAACAACCCAAGAATCATTACCGGCCCTCGACCGTTTCCTGCTTGCCCCAGATACAGTGGACGCAGATGATGTGCCAGATCTACTAACAAACCTACCACCCCTACCCTTACGCACCTCCACCATATGCGTCTCGTACATGTCATCAACCCTCTGACTGAATGGACCGTAATCATCATACGGTCCACTGCCATCGTCCACATCCTCATCCTCATCTGCGCCCTCCTCCTGCCCCTCCTCCTGGTCACCCTCCTCAGCATCATCATCGTCATCCTCATCCCGACGGTGGATCCGTTCTCTACGAACTGAGGCCGAAATACCACGGGATCTGACATGTCTATGCCCCGACCTCTCCACTGAATAACTTCTACTAAGAAGCTCTATATTCTTCCCCGCACCATGACGACCCTACACAAAATTTTAAAATATATAAACATACAAAAATTTATACGATAAATAATCATCATCGCAAATCAAATAAACTAAAAACATACAAATAATTGTAAACAAAATATAAACGTAGAAAAAATACAACGAAATTGAAAAAATTTATAAAAATAAACAACAAAACATAAAAACAATTCAAAATTATATTACAAAAAAAATTAAATAAATAAATTAAAAACAATTTTTTTAAAAAATTAAAAAAAAAAAAATAAAAAAAAAATGGGGGGGGGCGCCCTGGCTGGACGCCCAGCCGGTGGTGGTGGCGCCAGATGCAAACGCCGCCACCAGTTGGCTGGCGCCTGGGCTGGACGCCATAGCCACGGCTGCAGCGCCTAGAATAAACGCCACAACCGTGGCTGTGGCGTCCAGCCCAGGCGCCAGCCAACTGGTGGCGGCGTCTGCATCTGGCGCCACCACCGCTGGCTGGGCGTCCAGCCAGGGCGCCCCACCGCGTTCACGGCGGTTTTCCCCTTTTTTTTTTTTAAACAAAATATACCTTTCCTCCTTGGGACATCCTTCCCTCCGCCACCGCCGCCACTTCCTTGCCTTGCCGCCTCGACATTGCCGTTATTTTGAAATTTTTTTTTTAGAGAGGTTGAAAGAAGATGAGCAATGAGAGTGTGAGTGATGAGAGTGTGAGTGTTTTTTTTAAGGTCAAGGGCAATTTTGGGAAACCAAGTGAATTTTGTGGGCTTTATATAGTAATTTGTGGGCGATGTTTAACAAATCTCAGAGGTCGGAATGGGAATTGGTACGTGGAAATTTATCAAATATTCTCAATCCCTTGTTTAGCACACAAATGGGAATAATATTAGGACTGAAGGCTATATTTACTATTTTATCCTAATTATTTTAAATCTCAAATTTGATAGGCATTATTAAATTAAGGGCAAATATGTCTTTTAATTAGCTAGAGGATTTCCATCATTTTATTACCTAGGGGGTATGTAATAAAATGGTGGGAATAGAGGGTAAATAATCTCAAGCTAATTCCTACTCCCTAATCAAACATGGGTTTATGGAGACTTGGTAATAATAATCCTATTCTCACCTCCTAATCCCAGATACCAAACACCCCCTATAGGTAACTTTGACTATTAATATCTTAAATTTATGTCGATATAAATTATAATTTGTTGATATTATATAAAGGTACTCTGTATATTGTAACTAATTCAACAACATATTACATGACAAAAATTGTTTATTATACATTATACGGAGTACATTAGTTAAAAAAAAAAAAACAAGTAGTCAAAGACACTAAATAAATGGAGTAGTAGAAAAAGTTAAATTGTTGCACTTGAAAAAAAAAAAGGATGAAGTAGTGTTGAGTATTACGGATTTAATTGTCAACGATGACTTTAGGAATGAACACGTGTTTAATGAGAAACGATTCCAACTTAGCTTTTTTTTATAGGGTAAATGAGGGTATATTTTTAAGTAAATAACTTGCTCATAACTTCTATTCATTAGCATAGATTCAACATACTCCAGCCATATTCCGCACTGCTGTAAAACAACATAAATAATACTGTATAATTTAACTTGTTCATACTCTTCATAGCATAGACTCGGCACACGCAATTTCTACCCTACTCCTGAAGTAGCGAGAGCATGATACACAATTACACATCCATATTCCGTAACGCAGACTCGATACACTCAAGTGTGCATGAGACATTGAGACTAGTGACCAATTATATACCAACATGCTAGTATATGTCTTAACATCGCACTTAAACCATCAAAGGCAAATTTCACCGGCGTTGCTGCTCGCTTGTTCATCGCCATTCACCGCCACCAACAACAATTTCTCACCTTGAGCATAAAATTTGGGAGCATCTTCAAACTTTTTCCAGAATTTGAATTCAAGTAATCGCTAAGGTAAATAATCTTTCTTCGCTTAATTTAATCAAATTCAAATTGAATACTTGAATTTCTATAAATTTCAAAAATGGTGCGCATTCAATTTTAGGGCTTTTGATTCTAGTTGTAATCACTCGATATTTATCAAGGGTTTTGCCATTTTATTTTTTATAGTAGTCTCCAAAAATTTATTAACAATATTCAATTTTTTGTATGGGTAATAATTATTTTTATGGTAATGTAATGAATTAACTTGATGTTATATTGGATTTTTGTTCTTAATTTTATGTTTTCGTAATTATCAGCAATGAAACGAAACAAGCAGATGAAAGTGTATCGTCAAGAAGAGTCCCAGTCCTCCAATGCCTATGTGCAGGTTATTTTTTTTGGTCTCTATATACTCTCTATGATTTATGTTCTTGTTGATATTTTCTTGTATTCAATAGTTTTGCTATAAATTTGTGAACTTGTTGATAATTCTTTTGATTTAGTTGTTTATATACTGGCATATTGTGCAATTGAAAACGTTTTTTGATTTTTGGTTTAACATTTTGCTAAAACAATTTCTTAATATACTATGTGTTATCCTATAATTTTCTTAATTTCCCAAAAACTTAACACTATCCTTGTTTTAAGAAAGAGGATAGAAATAGATGATAGATGATCGAAAAGGAAAAAAAACGCCTATGTAATACACGAGAGAATGAAGGACATGATTGCTAAATGTGGTATAAATTCTTAGTTGTTCCCAAGTACACTTAGCTCTAGGTGCAAAATTCTCCAAAGGAACAAAATCAGAAATGAGGAAGAACAAAACCTGTGTACCTTGGAACATGATAGAGGTGCCGGTAAAAGGTATAAATGCAAGTTTTTACTGTTGAGCTTATTGTGAAACATTCGTATTTAGAAAGTGAGTTTAACGCTAATCATAGAAATCTTGTTGCTTCAAATTCCATTTTTTTTGTGGCTGGTTGAATGAATTGTACTGGAAAGTCCTCTTCTTTTTGGTGACATGATTTAGTTTCTGTTTTTTGGAGCAGATTTTAGGAACTGGTATGGATACTCATGACACAATGCCTTCAATTCTGCTCTTCTTTGATAATTTCCGGATTATATTTAATGCTGGAGAGGTAAAGATAAAGCCTTTTATTGGTAGAAGATATTGTTAGGAACACCCATTCCGATTATGCTATTTATTTGTTGCTCAAATTATACTTCTCGGAACACTTATAAACATTCATGTCTAATCTCATTGTAGGGATTACAACGATTCTGTGCGGAGCATAAGATTAAGCTATCAAAGGTGTATATAGGTGGATCAATTGCTGTAGTCTTTGAATGTTCATGAGTATTCTGTTGCTCTTTTTTTCTATTTTTCCATACTGAATTGCTGAGGATATTGTGTCTGTGATGCCTTTTCAGATAGATTATGTATGTCTTTCTCGTGTTTGCTCAGAGACAATTGGTGGACTTCCAGGTTTTTGTCATTTCGTGTCATACTTTTTTTCATGTTTTTCTATTTTATTATATGCTTGAAAAGTATGCTTGCTCTATATAGAATGAATTGATAAGGTAATTTGAATTAATATAGGAGTAAATGAGGAAAGAAGCTTCACATTTATTTTGTTTTCTTGACTGTAGTCTTTGTGCCATGGTTCTAAAAGATCAATAACTTCTTGTACAGGGTTGCTTCTAACTCTGGCTGGCATTGGAGAAGGACATTCTGTAAGTACTGGCTTGAGTCATGATGCCAACTTTGCTGTCTCTTTGACTCGCAAATTATATAATGAGCTATTATAGTATTATGTGAGTTTATTCTATATGCTGTGCTGAAATTTTGACTGCTAGGTCAAGCTACGGGGTCCATCAAATCTCAAACCATTGGTTCATGCACTCAAGTCCTTCATTCCACATGCTTCCATCTGTGCGGAGAGATTTGGAGTCAATCTGTCTTCAGATGCTCAATCTCATACTGGTTCAAGCCTGCCTGAAGGTCCTTTCTTTGTTTGTGGAAGTGCAGCTGTCAAAGTTTCAGCAATTCTCTTACAACCATGTATTTCTGAAGATTCTTCTCTAAAACCTAGTGATGTGTCTGTTGTCTACATCTGTGAGTTGGCCGAAATTAAAGGGAAGTTCCACAATGAGAAGGCTGATGCCCTTGGTCTAAACCCTGGACCCAAGCGCAGAGAACTTAAAAACGGGAAATCTGTCAAGTCAGATCGCTTAGATATTATGGTGAGTTTTCATATGAGAATTTCTAGGAGACAGATTTTCATTATAGAACCTTTTGTATGTTCTGTTTATATATGCTACCTTTACTTTTAGGTTCACCCCAGTGATGTGATAGACCCTTCAACCCAAGGCCCTGTTGTACTCATAGTTGACTGCCCAACTGAATCTCATGCAGGAAAGCTATTTATCACCCAATCTCTTGGTAAATACTATGCAAATCTTTCAGGTGAAGCACTTGAAACTGTGAATTGTGTAGTCCATCTTACTCCTGCTTCTGTTGTACAAACTATAAATTATCAGAACTGGATGAAGAAGTTTGGCTCAGTACAACATATTATGGCTGGATATTCAATGTGAGTTGCTCCAATCCTTCATTTGTAGTTGAGCAATCTTCCTCCCTTCCTTGTATTACATCTATCTTCATTTCTATGTTTAAGTTATTGGATGTATGCTGATTGAGACCATGGTATGTGCAGGAAGAATATGAATATACCGATTCTAAAATCTAGTGCTAGGATCACAAACCAGCTTAGTTACCTGTGTCCTCAGTTTTTCCCAGCTCCTGACTTAGAGTTTCATGAACATCAAAATGCTGAAATGGGCATGGTTGGTTTCTCTTAGGTTTAATCTAGTATCTGTTATTTCAACTTCCTAGAATATAGAGTTGTTTATAGAGGATGTTGAAAATGGAAACTGAGAAATTCCTCATTTACCTTTGCACTTTGCAGGAGCCTGTTAAATGGATCTGTGATAGTGTATTAGCAGAAAATCTTCTCAAGGTGCTTAAAATCTTGTTTTCCTCTCTCTTTTTCTGGCTTGTCTATACTCTATAGAGTGTTTTTCTGGTTATTTGTCCTTTTTTTGTCTTCCTGAAATTCCATAATCTGATTTTTGGTTTTTTTTTTTTTTTTTTTTTTTTTTTTTTTTTTTTTTTTTTTTTTTGGTTACCAAACAGTTCACTTTACTTCCTCACTCTCAACTAGGTTTGGATAAATCAAATGTTCCGGGTTTCATACCCTCTTCACAAGTCATTAGTGATTTACTGCTGGAGATTCCAGAAATTGTAGAAGCTGCCCAGCAAATCAGCCAGTTCTGGTGTGAGCCCACAGTGGCCAAAGGGGATTCCACTAAAGATAGAGAAGGATTGATTGGAGATCCTTCATTGGATCAAAGTCCTCTTCCTAGTTGTTTAGAGAATATAAGGAGAGATGATGCAGAAATTGTGCTGCTAGGGACATGCTCATCTCAGCCATCTAAATATCGCAATGTTAGCTCTATCTTTGTTAATCTTTTCGCCAAAGGTAACTTGCTCCTAGATTGTGGTGAAGGAACGCTGGCTCAACTAAAAAGAAGGTGATCTGCTTTATTTATTTTTATTTTTTTGAGGAAAGTGTATATTTTTTTTGGGGGTGTTGGGGGGGGGGGGGGACAGTAGTATGTTTCCAAGCTCAGTACATTGTATTACTGTATAAGGTTTTCTTCAGTACTGTTATTGAATTGCTGTGTCCTTACTGTCTACAGATATGGCATGGATGGTGCTGCTGATGCTGTAAAAAACCTAAGATGCATTTGGATTTCACATATCCATGCTGATCATCATGCTGGTTTGGTGAGGATACTTGCTCTGCGGCGTGATTTGTTGAAGGGAACCCCTCATGAACCATTACATGTCATTGGGCCCAAGTACCTTGAATCATTCCTGTATAAATACAAAGATCTGGAAGATATAGATATGCAGTTCCTTGACTGCAGAAGCACCTCTCAAGCCTCATGGGACACATTCAAGCGTGGTCCTGTGTTGACAGATTACCAAACTTTTTCACCTGATAGCATGAAAGATGAGCATGTGAACGATGAAAATGAGGAGGATGGATGTTTGCAGAGGTGCTCAAAGAGACAGAAAACAAATATTTATGTGGATAATTGTGTAGATTATGGTTTACAAAAGAGCTTGAGTGAAGTTTTGAAAGAAATGGGCCTGGCAAGATTGATAAGTTTTCCTGTTGTGCATTGTCCTGAGTCATTTGGTGTTATATTGAAAGCAAGGGAAAGAGTCAACAATGATGGAGCTCTGATTCCAGGGTGGAAGGTTGTCTACTCAGGTGACACTAGGCCATGCACTGAAGTAATACAGGCAGCTGAAGCAGCGACTCTTCTTATACACGAGGTATGTATGCTCCCTTGATTTATAAATGAGTATACTGAAAAAAAGTGGCCGAGTGCATGTCCACTTGTCAGGAAATTAATTCTAATCCCTTATAGGATTCCTCACCTTTTCCCTGGATCCTTATAGTCTAAATAGTCTGCTTAACCCTTATTTAGAATAGCAAAAAATTGATCGAGATTGGGAATTACCTTGGTAGTCCTTGCTATCAGGCAGACAGCTTTTGTGCTAGCATGATTGATGCTTTATTGAGTTGGACATGCATGGCGTGATCAAATTTGCCTAGGGTTTTTCAAATTCTATTGGATCAAACGACTAGTTAGAGGTTGCCTTAGTTCTCTGTGCTGCAGTTAGAGCAGGTAGTTAAATAAAGGAATATTGTTCTAGGTTTTCTTCTTTTGTCAACGGTTAAGGCACCAAATGCCTATTTTCCGATGCCTTGACCACTCTTTTGTCCATTTTCTTTATTGTTCTCTTCTTTTCTTTGCATTTAGACACACCTGCTTACTTTTTACCCTCCGACACTCTTCCCCCTATGAACGTACTTCCCACTTTTTTTTCCCCATTTTCTTTTCACTTCATCACTTATTCCTTGTTCTCTCTTAGTATCATCAACAAGAGGATAAAGTGAATAATTTAATAACCGTTTTGTCACGTGTAGCAAGATTTTCTTTATGTTTTGTTTGGCTTGTAATTGGTTTAATTTTATTCAGTTTGATATTGATTAAGTGTGCACTAATGCCACTATTGGATGCTGTCAAAACTGTACCTAAATTTGTTCAAAGAATGTGTGAAACTAGGTGAATATCACCGTCAATTTTAAGCTCCTTTTCCATTTTGATTGATTTTTGAGGTGAGAAATTTATGGGGGTGGAATGAAAATGGAGATCACGAGGTTCATTACAGGAATAAGAGAGATTGAATTATAAGAAAGTGGATATCTTTGAGTTCCATTTCATGGGTCCTGGTGAGGAGAAAGGCAGGGATGGTAGCATAGGGAAGGGAAAGGCAGAATGATGTGGGAATTCATGGCAGAAGATTTGAATCATAAGAGGTAACGAAAAGAGAGTGAGAGTGGATAATTTTATTGCGTCATGAGTGAGGTAAATTAAAAAGGAAAGGAAATTTGGAACAAAGGACCGAAAAGTTAACTTGTGTGCCATTTGACGGAAATATATTCTTTAAAGGTGCTTTCTTGCAAAAAAATTGTATTTGAGGAGGCAGTGGAGTGGGTTCAATTTTTGAAGACTTTGCGCTTGAGTGTGTGTTTTTTCTGTTACAACTAACAATTTAAATGTCCCATTTGTTCAAATTATCCTAATGATGATTGGATTGTGTGTCTTTATTTAACTTTTAAATGGAGTATCATCTGATAGCTGAACTTCATTGTTGCAGGCGACTTTTGAAGATGACCTTGTGGAGGAGGCAATAGCCCGAAATCACAGCACCTCTAAAGAAGCCATGGAGGTGGGGAGCTCTGCTGGTGCATATCGCATTATTCTTACACACTTCAGCCAACGGTATCCTAAAATTCCTTCAATTAGCAGTGAGATCAACTTGGAAAAGGCTAGCATTGATTTTGATCTCATGAGTGTAAACTTAGCGGACTTGCCTATACTCCCTCGCATTCTTCCATATTTAAAATTACTGTTTAAAGATGATATTACTCGAACACTAGAATGTGATGTATAATTGGTCGCAAATGAGATTCGTGATCTTATTATAAAGTATTTTTTGTGCTCCTTTTGCTATCAATAGTTTTGTTTTACGTTACCTTATAGAAGACCAAAGCTGCCCATGTTGTGGAACGGACAATGAAACGGCTGTTCATGCTGTGGTGCTATGTCCCAAAGCTCGGCAATTATGGGTGAGGTGTGGCTGCCAGGAGGTGCTTAACATGAACATACCGTATTCGTTTGGAGAATTGTTGCTTGACTGGGCTAAAAATCTCTCGACAGAGACTTATCAAAAGAGCCTATTTCTCTTATGGTTTATTTGGTTTCGTCGCAACAAATGGGTCTTCGAAAATGTATGGGACTCGGATGAGGCTCTTCTTCTCAGACACAGTAGGATAGTGGCTGATTTTGGTGAATATTCTGAGAAGATTTATGGAGATACATCTCCTCCAAGCGAACCAGTGGGTAGACCAGTTTGGGTGCCCCCTCCTCTCGGCTCAGTGAAGGTGAATGTGGACGCAGCAATTTCAGAAGATGGCTGGGTGGGATTAGGAGCTATAGCTCGTGATGACAGAGGGCGTGTTCTCTTCTCGGCAGTGAGCAGATCAAGGGCGTGGTGGGAACCATTGGTGGCTGAATGCAAAGCAGCCCTATTTGGTATAAAGAAGGCAAGGGAGAAAAACATGGGTAATATAATTCTAGAGGCTGATTCCTTATTGCTAGTCTCTAAGCTTAAGAAGGGGTCGTCTTCTCTAGCGGCTGTTGATGGTATTCTAGAAGACATTGTCTCTGCTTGTACGGACTTCTCTTCTATTATTTGGTGCCATGTTAAACGGGAGGGAAACTTTGTTGCCCACCACCTAGCTAGGTTAGTGCCGTATGGTAGTGAATAGCTCTGGGATAATTTTGTCCCGAATGAGATTTCCCCATATGTATTTTTGGTCTCTTTCTATAAATTAATGCATTTACCGTTTTCCTATTAAAAAAAAAAAAAAAAAAAGAAACTAAGAATAGGGCAAGTAAGGGTATCGACTTCGTAATCTCATCTCACTTGAAATAAAAGGGGTGATTAATGAAAATTATTGAAATAATATTGAAAACTTTTGAAAGTAATTGATGCAAAATTTACGAGGGTGCTCCCATTGATTTTTTTTTTATCAATTTAACTTGTCAATTAAAATGGCTCTTTTTGTAAAAAAAAGTGAATAGCAAACATCCACATATCCACATATTTGACTGATGGCAATTACTCAGCAACTGAGTAGGAGTGTCCCCATATAACGTCCGTTAGAGTGTTTAGCGTCACCGTCAAGTTTTAATATCATTGATTTGCCTTGTTTATATCCACGTTTCATGTTCATCTTTTTTAATTTGGTGTCGTAAATTCACAAATCCACAGTATTATCACACTTTCTTATATATTGATTCGAATACTTCACACCAAAATCTACTTCAAGAATCCATACATTTCAATAATCTGTAAAAAACAGATAAGAGAATACTACATAAATAAGATTAAAAATATAAAAAAAAAACCAGTGTTCGATGATGCTATTCAATAATCCTTAATTTCAAATGTAACAATAATCCTTCTATAGATACCAAAATCAAAATGAACTTAGTTTGTATTCGACTTACCCAACACTTCGATTGATTAGATACCAAAATCACTCACATCAAGCGTCGTTGCGAAATCACTTGCCAGAACAATGGAACTAGAATTTGTTTGTTTTGTGTTAGAATTTTGAAGATTCTAAACTAGCCATGGAGAACTGTAATGTTTTGCCCGTAGTTGGTGGGTGGATAGATAGTGGTTTGCAAGATAAGGGCAGCGGGGTTAGGTGCAGATGCAGAGAGGAACCTTGTTTGGAAGATGATGAAAAGTAATATCAATACAACAATTTACAAAATAAAAAAAATTGAATACTTAAAAGGGGTAGTTGCATTTATGAGACATGGGGTAGCTGAGGAAATAAGTCATACAACCATCAAAATTGACGTAATGGCCAAAATTGCAGCAAATACACGTAGATGTGCGTGTGTGACAAATATGCTGAGTCACAATAAATGTTATTACCAAATTGCCCCAGGTTTAATGATGGAAAAGACATTGTTACCCTGTTGATTGGCGAAACAAGTTGATCAAATTGATCAACTTGTATTTTGCGAAAATTTACCCGCTTTATACTAATATTAAAATTTTAAAACTTATGCAATTAATCAGTGGAAGATAATATTTTGATATAGTTCATACGACTATATAATCATTTAGAATACAGAAAAGGAGAAATTTTGCGAAAATTTATCCACTTTATACAAATCTAATATATATATAAATAAAGTAGGCATTTTTCAAGAGCATTCGGTGTGCCACATAAGCAAAGGTATATTTTCGACCAATTAAATATTAGATTTCTATTTTATTTTGGAATTAAAAAATCCGTTTGCCACCTAAACAAAAGTGACGAATGAGATTTAAGAATTTTGCCACGTAAGTAAAAACAATGAATATTGATTTATTAGGATTTAATTTATTTAAAAAGCTAAAAATTATATTTTAAAATAATCATCTTTAGATATAGGATTTATATACCTACTATTATAAGATAAATTTTGATAGTGTTTGTGATAAGAAATAAAAATCATTCCTTAATTATAATTGAATTAAAATTTGTGATATTTACCATTATAAATTGACGCATCATATGACACCAACAAAATTTCGTATCAATACAAAATCAAACCAAGCAAATTTTGTGTCAGTTTTATTAGTTCATCAATGACTGAGTAATTCTTAGCCTAATTTTTAAAACCCATGTTAAAATGTATATTGTGATTATTGCTTAAATTGTGTTTATTTGGGATACTTAATGGTTATATGTTTATATTTTGTTTACTGAATTTTGTTTTTACATGCAGATCTAATTTAATCAAAGAATTATATTCGAGCAAAAAACTATGGAATATCAAAGTACGAGTTTCTCGCCTAATGATCCTATTGGATGAGGAGGTATTATATCTTTATAAATCGTTTACATTTATTAAATCTTTTAATGAACCTTTTAGTTTTTATCAATTAATTTTATGATTATATTAAAACAAATTTTTTGTGATTTAGGTAGCTTAATTAAGTCATAAAATTAACTTAATTTTTTACTTTTAATTACAGGGTGATTACGTTCATGCCTCAATGAAAGTCAACTTTAATCTACAATTTTGTTCAAAATTGATTAAAGGAAAAGTTACTCCATTAGATATTTTTCAGTCGTTAACAAAATAAGAAGCAATATCGCACGCATTGTCAGCAGCAACAAAATAATGATTCAATTTTCCAAAATACTATTGTTTGGGCGATTGGGGACGATGAAAAAATTCCAATGCATAGATTTAATTTTGTATAATTAAAAATTTTAGGTTAATTTCACAACAATTATTCACTTTCTGGTAAATATTTTAATATATTTTATAAGACTATAAAGAATAATTTTATATAAATTTTATTTTTGCTAACATGTGCTATTTATCCACTTTTATTAGATGGAAGAGATATGGGTGTGAACAAAGTTGGTGATCCGATCCAATTTTTTTTTTTAATACATTTTTTACATTGATATATTACATCTAATAACTATTATTTTTAATGTTCTTATCAAAATATTTATTAGGGGAATAAATCATATAAATTAATAAAAAATTATCCTTAACAAACAATAGCAAAGTAATCAAAAATATTATGCGTATGATCTAACTACAAAAATTATTTTTATGAGATTTTATGTATAAAAAACCGTGGGATATTAGGATTTAAATTATTAAAAAAAAATAAAAATTATCTTATGAAATTAATGGTTTTATCTATATACCCGATTAATAAGATGATTTTTTCATAAAAGAAATTTAAAACTTATAACGCAATTAAAAAAAATTTACCTTCTTTAAACATTTTATGTCTAAAAATTCGAAAAGGCAGATAATTTGTTAGAGATCAAGAGATCACTAGAAATTACAAAATGATAAATAGATTTGAGAGTTTAAATTCAAGTGTAAAAAGCAACAAATGATGATTTAGGATTTAAATTATTTTAAAATTAAAAAATTATTATCTTTTCACATTAAAGATTTTATCCTAATATGTAATTAATGAAATATCATATTTACAATTTTTTTTTTGGAAAGATATCATATTATTGTCATATAACTAACAATAACGAATAAAATACAAAACAACAATAAATTAAGTCGTATTATAAATTGTAAAATAAATCAAATATTATTAAAAAAAACTTAGAGTATACTGGAAAATATATTTTCTTGAGATATATGTATGAAAAATCGTGCATCGCACGAGCTTTCATCTAGTATTAAAATTTTAAAACTTATGCAATTAATCAGTGGAAACAAGATAATATTTTGATATAGTTCATATGGCTATATAATCATTTAGAATACAAAAAAGGAGAAAATACTTGTTAATGTGTCATATTAACAAAAAATGTTAATATAAGGATATTAATGTATTTTCTTAGCTTTATCCCCTTTCTCTTTCCTCTATCTACATCATCAGTCCATCTTTGTCACCACCGCACAACCATACGCACCACGACCACCGCAAGGCCATTGGCGCCACCACCACGACCACTAATACCACCACAACTCTACACAAAAGTAATGACTAGTGTAATGTTAAAAAGCTCAAAATATGACTAAACTTTTAACACTTACAATTTGTGTGGGCTGCAAATTAATAAACATGTTGTTTCGTCTAAAGTAAAAATAAACAAATGTCACAAGCAACCTAAGATCTCTGAAAATTCTACAATGTCATTCTTTTATAAATGACACCACAATTTGCTGATGTGGAAAAATTTGATTGGCCTATATTTAGTATTTCTATATTCATTTTGAATTAATGTATTTTTTTTTTGTATTCTTTTTAGTTCATGTTTTTTTTAGAAATACATAATTATAAATTATGAAAATCTATTTTTTGTAATATTAATTAATATTCGAATTTATAATTATAATTAAAAATCCCAAAATTAAAATCGTTCAACATTGTTCATATTATTCTACAATCGTTCATCATTGTTCATAGAGTTCATCAATCATGTCATAGATAAGCCCCCTATTCCTAAAATTAATGTTAGTTGTTGATGCATTCGCAAATCCGGACTAAAATCGGGATAAAAACTTCGTAAACAAATTGTGTTTTTTTGCAATTTTTGATTTTTTATATTCTCTTAAATGTCATTAAGAATATTTTTTTTTGAGAGAGAATATTTCTCTATAAAATTGCTAAAAAAAGCGGCAAATGTTATTATGGATATTTCGGTTAACAAAAAATCAGGTGAATGCTACTTTTTTTTTTAAATTGAAACCGTTAAACTATAATTAATTAAGATCAATAATTCTTGTCAAAAAAAAAAGATCAATAATAATCTTTCAAAACTAAATTTTTCGGTCAAACCTTCACTATTCGTAACAATGTACTTAGATATTTTGATATCATATATATAACAAAGTTATGTTTGTATACAAATCATATAAACAACTAATTATGAATATACCAAAATTATAGGAACTAATTAATTTATATGTCTAAGATTTCAAAAATATAATAAGATAAGAATCCCATAAATCTTTTTTACCAAAATGATATGACAAGAATTCTATAAATCTTTTTTTTTTTTTGATACATGATTAGCGTAAAATTATGATTTCCACTAAAAAATGAAACGCAATTGTTAAGTAATTTATATGTGCCTTGAGCACGAGCAGATTCCAACTAAAATATAAAACTTAATTTTTTAAGTAAGGACCAAAACTAATACAAATGAATGCCTTATAACACAAGCAGATTCCAACTACAAATTAAAACTAACTTTTTTGGGTAATGACCTAACTAAATACAGGTAATTACCTAACCACAAACAGATTACAATAATCACATACCTCGATTATGGATCAAACAGGTTTGTGGAAAAAATATTTTGAACTCTAAATTGCAGAGCACACCCTCGTTATTTATCCATTGACCCGTTAAAAAAATTGAAAGATTTGTGTTTTAGATCATCATAAAGGCTATTTTCATCCTCAAAACCATCAAACAACTTGGTTTTTTCATAAATCAATATTATCAATCGAACCCTAAAACGAAATTTGTATACGAATCATGGAAGCAGATTCGAAAACCATTGCAATGAATCCGATCTTGGATCGGACAGAATTTTGGTTGAATTCCCAATAGATTATTCAAGATTTTTGGGGTGGTTAATTAAGATCATGAATGAAGAACAATGATGAATTTTTTATTTTCTAAATTTTAATTTTCGAAAATGATTTAAAAAGATAAAAATAAATTTTAAAAAACTATAATCTCGTATTCTCTAAAAAAATACATGTATTTACAATTATGCATAGGATTATAATAATAAATCAAAAAACGCCGATCATAACATAACACATCATCATGTTATGGTGTCATTTTTCAGTAGACCTATCTTAAGATCTCATATGAATACATGAAAATATTTTGATATATAACGTATTACTTCCTCCGCCCGCTATTATTTGCAACAAAGGGGTATTATTTGTGAGATATAAAATATCCCTTTGTTGCTAATAATAGCGGGCGGAGGAAGTATATATAATGTTGAAATTAATGATCAAAATGTTTAAACATTGAACGACTCAAACTTAAAACCGTAAAAAACAATTCAGAATACACGGAAGTAATGACTAGTAATATTGAGGGTAGTTTGTGAAATACGAAATACGGAGTAATATTCTTGTATATTTTATGGGAGGGTTAGTTAGGGTATAAGTGTAACAAAGAAATGCTAAATGCTTTGACCACCCTTAGAAAAACCATTTTAGTGTCCATAAAAAAACTTTTTACTCATCTTACACTGTAGAATACTACAAAAACCCTCTTATTACTAGGCATTTGGCATTTGAAGAGAAAAAGGAAGGGTTTTTCTTCAGTCAAGAAATATGAAACCATATCAAATGATCTCCAACATGAAAGCACGTAACTTTGAAGATTTAGAAAAGATAAGAAAATCAACGAGAGCTTGCATACTCTTCCATAAGAGGTATGCCAAGTATTACATGGTAGATTACGAGTTGGAGAATGCCATTGGTAACCCTCAAAAGATACAAAGCATTGTATGTTTCTTTCCCATTTACTATTTTATGAGCTTAATTTTGTAGTAAATAAGTAAATTTTCGATCTTTATGATAGTAAGGTTCGATTTACTATATTATGTTTCTTTCCCATTTACTATATTATGAGCTTAATTTGTTTCAAAAAAAAAAAAAAAAGTATTATAAGCTTGATTTTGTAGTAAATAAGTAAAGTTTCGATCTTTATGATAGTAAGGTTTGATCCCTAGCCTCTCGCCAACAAATCTAGCTAGGTGATCAAAAAATTCTTAGTTGGATGTTGTGGGTAATGTAATAATACTGGAAAACACAAAAAAAGATTGTATTTTTATTCTTAAAGATATACGTAGTTTACATTATTTTTAGCGTCCCGTTTATCTGAAGAACACCAAAGATCGCATTTTTTTGATAAATATCTAGCTAACATGTAGTATATTTGCTTAACATTGACACAATTTTGGTTGCAAATAGTGAAAGTTTGTATTTTTAAGATATTGTGGCAGATTTTGGTTAATCTGAAGTGCTAAATGTTGATAAAACTAGATAAATAAAGTGTGTGGGTAATCTTACAAAAGTGTGTATTTTTTCCATCAAATTTCTTGACTTTGCTACTATATGAGTAACTGATGATCAAAATTAGTTGCACCAAGTTATTAGATCTGGTTGATCTGACCCATTTTTAGTTTTTGGGCACGTTTAGTTTAATTTGGCAATTCATAAACCAAACCATTTTGGGTTGGGTTCGAATACATATGATGAATTAACGATATAAGATAGTCGGAATAATAGATCGTGTCAATATAATGAACAAGTATCAAATTTTAAATAAAATTCTGGCTTTACTATCAGCTTCTGAATGTAATATAACCGCGTAGTATTTACGTACTTGGGCAGGTTGACAGTGTACCTATCGTAGCTCAAGACATTTCGAGTGGGGATTTTATGTTGCAATATGCAGCAGTTCATAAGATGGAGTTCATCATTGTGCAACTAAGTATGAAATATGCATGACCATTATATTGTATTGTAAATCATTGTCCTACATTCCTTGCTTGATTAATTTGTCGTAAACTGATATTTTCGAGTTTTATTTTTCAGAGGATCATGCTGCAACACAAGCCTTAGTTCAGCGTGGCATAGTCCCTCATTTGCTACGGTTTCTTGAAACTTGTCCAGGCTTTGTTCAAGTTGATTAACACTCTAGAAGACTAAAACATTTAAGCATGAATTTTCTTTAACTAATTAATCTGTATATATTGAAGTTTAAATGATGTCTATTGCCTTATTTTCTAGATTACTGGGGCATAAGTACTCTACAAACTGATAAATGAGTCTCCTGAGCAAGCTCAAGAAATTATTGATCATGGCGGTGCTGCCATAATTGTTGGGCTATTAAATTCTAGCTATATTACAGTGAAAATCAGGGTAATCACACTTCATTATTGATCAATTGGAATTGTGAAAACTTAATTAATGAAAAATAATTGTTATGTACATAAGTCAACTGTCATTTGAAGATTGTTATGTTGTTTGCTGAACTTGATCAGTTGATCATTCTTCTGTTGGACAATAGGCACTGGGAGCTATGGCCTGTGCCCAGGACCTCCCACCACAGTACAGGGATGCGCTTCTTAACCATGGCGCTGCCACAGAGTTAGCAGTCTTGCTTGAACCACTAGTAGAACTACCTATGTTTACTGTAGCCCAAGGCTCTGAAGAAGCAACATTGTTGTACAGAGGAGTTAAAACTTTGCCAAGTTTATGCTCAGGAGATCCATTACCGGCATTTCATCTGGTAAAAGAGCGTAAATTCTTGGAATCTAGGAGTATGTTTCAAGCTTTTGTAACTTTGTCAAGTTATATAAACTGGAATTCTTATTGCAGGTGGAAATTCTGATTCCAAGTCTTCGAAGAATACTAATAGTTCACATTCCAATTGGAATATATTCTAAGATTATTACAGATGCTTGCGTGACCCTGTATTACATTTTGGAAAATCTGACAACTGACCGACTTCAGGAATATGTGAATGCAGAGTTATGTCTGAGTCTAATATTGCTCATGCAGTAAGTTACCTTCATTGTCCTACATGATGTTGTATCTTAGCATGTAGTAACCATTGCATCTGCCTTGTATTTGAAGAGGAACAAACGAAGAACTTGATGAGGCTGTTCATCTAATATTGCGGAATCTGATATACAGTCAAGTTCTTGTTCAGGTACCCCCTCATCCATAGCTTTCATGTTCAAGGTAACAGAATTGTATGTTACTTCAAGGGTGTGATTATGAGCTTAGATTGCACCTACTACTATTGAGGCTAACAGGCTCAGAAATGCCATGCTCTCCTCGGTTCATTATTCAACTAGTGCTTGTGCCTGAGTCACAAGCTCTAAGTAGATTATAAATCTTCATGGTTTCATGCTATGATATTCCTGTTTCTGAGCTTAACTTTTTTCTTTGGCTCTTGCATATTGTCCTAACAATGACTTCCCCTGCCTACATGTTTCAAAATCTAGGTTCTAATTGACCATCAACTAATTCAAGCACTTAACCAAAACCTCTATGATGATCCCGTGTATCAAGCAAAAGCTTGCAAGACAATCTTCGCTATAATATATTACAGACGGGTCAGAGTACAGGTACATCATCTATATGAAGTACTTTTTCTTATATTTGGTGCATATTTGTACTCTTGCTTCATGTTATACTTTTCTTGAAGCTGCAAACTTCCCCTACAGAAACCTTCCCTGCAAAATATTGAGTATCGAAGCTGCAAACTTCCCTTACTATTTATGTTCCAAATGACCACCTTCAGGATAAGATCCTAGCCTAAATATTTCTTGTTTGGCCAATGAATCAAACATATGGCATTACACATTTGTTGCCCCTTCCTATATGTTCAACTTTTATCCCGCTTGTGTCTTTTTACGACATTCTTGCAAATTTAAGGACATATAAGGATTATAATTTTGAACTGTAAACAGGTACTTCTTGACGAAGATGTAATCCATCGGCTTCTTCAAATAATACAAGATGGATTTGGAGATGTCGAAGTAAAAGAGTTGGCTGTCTCCATTCTTGCACAAGCAGTTAGGCATGGAACTGTTGAAGATATTAAGTATGCAATGTTCTTCCCTATTTTTACATTACTAACTTTCCTTATCTTGTTATGATTCTTGCATCATGTTATCTCTTCCTTATCGACATGCACTCATAATGTTTATTTTACAGCTTGTTGGTGAATCTAGGTTGCATCCAACCTCTCTGTGAGTACCTTAACAACATTGTGACACGGGCATACTGCATTATAGGACTGAGGAAGATCATACAGAAGGGCAATGAGCAGAGAGTAGGTAATGCAAATATTTATGCTGTGATAATCGGTCAAGTTGGAGGCGATACAATCAGGTCCCTGCAGAATGATGGACAACTTGGTTCGATAGCTCGATGGATAATGATGTATATTTGACTACATGGGCAAATGAGTCTAACGATCAAATTGTTTCCTTTGTTTTGTTTTGCACCAAATTGCTCTTAGACCTTTTCGTATAACAATATCAATAGGAGATTTTTAATTCTCAGAGTTCAGTTTTGTAAAAACCTACTGTTTTGACTCTTTAACAGTTATGTGCAATTAGATGCACAACTTTGACCATCGGTATCAACAATTTACTTATACTCCATCCGTATGACCTTATTGCAATTTCCGTATACTTTCTAGATATGGTTTCTAGATATTTGCTACATAATAATGATTTATAATTAAAATTTTGTACTCCATATGTTACATTGTAAGATCCAGATAAGAGCTAAAAACTTCAATTCACAACTAAAATAAGTTAAACACCAATAAGTTTATATGAAAACAACATGAATTTATTAAGTGAATAAAAATGAAGCATTCATAATTTTCTATATTGACATGTCGAGCCTATACAATCAAGAATTCAAAACTGAAGTTAATGATGAAGTTTGAACACTTATGAACTGCTACAGCTACAATTTTGTTACGAGTACATCTCAAGAAATGTGCTAGTGTTTCATCAATCAGCCTTATGCACTAGGTTTACCATTGCCATGATGATGTTGCAATACAATACTCACTTATCATGTGGCCCACTCAAATAAATTTTCAGACTGATGAGAAATCAAGCCACTTCATATACTTATTCAGCACACAAGGTGTACAGTCAAGTCTTTCAGCATAACAATGCGCATGAAGCTTCCACAGTGGATAGTCTAAGGACATTATCTTGATCTATAGAAGTGTGGTGTATTAACTCACTACATCAGCTGGAAGGCTGCAAGTCAATTTCAGAGTCCTGCACTTTAAACTTACACCTGCCTGTTCCAGCACAGACTGCACATTCCTCCGCTTCTCCAGCTACATGGCTTAAGCAATAGTTAATTCTGTCCTTCACAACATCCTGCAAGATCAAATAGCACAAAGCATACAATCAATACATTGTGCCTTCAATGTCTCAACTTCAAATAACTGAATTCAGCATGATGATCCCAAGGTGTCAGTTCTAAATAGCATACATATGCATCACGCTACAACAATAAAGAGCAAGGAAGTGGGAAAATTAATTATAAATCATTGCATATTTTTAAAAGATGGTATCGAGAAAGTCACAAATCTCTTCAGATCAGTTCACCATCTGAATAGGGGTGATGTTGGAAGGGTGTAAACGGGTATGTTATAATGAAGAACATACTATAAACAAGTATAACAACCATATGACTTTGACCACTTGAAATTTACGAAATACAAACATTCACATAGAAATCATAAGATGGGATTAAGTTAATACCACAAGCAACTCATGCAAACCCAATGGTGCAGTGACAAGATAGTTGATACCAGGATGCTCCAGAGCAGCAGCATCTGCAAGGTTCGGGATATCCTATACAACAGAAAAATGAATTTACTTCAACTGTTTTCAGATTCGTATAGAGATAAAAAGGTTGACCTTCAACCTCCCTAACAGCGAGTGACCATCCTCACCTGGATATCTAATTTCATATCAAGAGATAGGATAAGAAACATTCTTGTATGAGTGATTATAATAAATGTATGGGTTACATATTAAAGGCACACAAGGATAAATTCTAATGTCCTAGATTCAATCTGAAATTTAAAAGTCCAAAACAGCAGCATGCAGATACTATATGATCACAATAGAACCTAGGCAAGAAGGGGGTCATCACCAGTCCCCATTGTCTTATGTTCAAAAATGGAGGGATCAAAACAGTAGAATGGTAGTTTTCTTACCTGATGCCAATGCCTTCCAGGAAATAAGAAGAATGGGCTAATGATAACACGATTTGCCCCTTGCTGGACACATGAACTGAAAGCATCTTTTATGGACGGTTCTGCCAATTCCTAAACAATAAGGTGACATGTAATGTAAGGACATGGTCAGAACTCTTAAAAGTCAAGAGACTAGTTCAACATGAAAAAGCAAAATAAACAACACTGGAAAAAAAATATTACATTGCATGACAAAGATTATTTAGTACATGTTCCAATCCAATATCTACATAATTTGGTGTCTTTCTAGTTTGGATGAGTGCTTAATACACTCACACTTTCCTCAACACAAAAGAAAGGTGATAGAATGCTGGCTTCCAGAGCCACTCGGAAATTTCATATCCAGCTCGAAACATTGCATGGCAACATGATACATAACAGGGTAATTACCATATGTGCAGGCTCAACAATAGGATATCCAGTTTTGTTTTTAAACATCAGCACAAATTCATCTGCAGTACACAAGTAAGCACACTATTACATAATGAAAATTTTGCACAACTAGCTACCCAACCTCCCCCCAAAAAAACATTGACAAGAACATCAAACAACTCTAAATGGCCTTACTCAGTAATAGATTGGATTCTTTTCGACGAGATCCATGATCCACAATAATCACACCATCTTTCTGACCAACACCAGAGGCACCCTCTTGCCGGATATTTTGATCCATAGCAACGCATAAACGTGGTGACAGGCTCTTATGCTGAGTATATTGTGGTAGTTTGAAAAATCTAGGTCCAGCTTCTATCCCTCTTCCCTTGGTGGTTGTTAAAGATGCCGGACTGATCGCAACAGGAGATAACAGGACAATGAGAGAAGTGATAATAGTTTGAAAAGAAAAGGAAGGATGGCTAGATAACAGAGTCTTGATGTTAAATACCTTTGAAGTTGAACCCACTGATTACAAGACAAGAATTTTAATGACATTTGAGCTGTTGTTAATCCTGCTTATCATCTATTCATCAGCTGGAAAGAGAGACAGGGATAAATTAAATCTAGATATCCTTACAAAGAATGAAAAATCACTATTTACTAGCCAACATAAGAAATTCAGGACAAGTTCGACAGCAATTGATTTCACAACGAATTCCACTCTGACCCCACAGCCCTGCCACCAACCCATGTAAGCTTTGACTACAGGAAGGGTTTGATTTCATGACTTACATGAAGTACATCTGAAAACACCAAGGCCAAGCACCCATTACACTCAAAGACAACAACTTCCAAAGGAAACAAATAATAACGGATTAAGCATAAATAAATCAAAAATAAGAATACGAAGATGAATCTGATGAAGTAAAATATAGCAGGCTAGCAGCATTTGCTCCAATAAATTTCTCCTCTGCAGGTAAGAGATCAGAACTCAATTCAACCAAATAATCCCTACATCCTTTATGGTATGCACCACCTTTTTAGGATGTCCGGCATTTCCCCAAAAGAATGCTCCATTCTATCTATGATCATGAGGTCCAAAATTCCAAATACATTACTCTCTCATTAAAATACATAAGATCCCACCATATTTATTTTTCATTCACTTCACGCAACCAAATGTAAAAGATCGTGCTAAACTCTCGTAGAGCAATCTTTAATGGACGAAAGGGAGTATACAGTCCAACAGTGGCGGAGCCACGGTGGGTTCAAGTGGGTTCATTGAACCCACTGATTTTTTGAAAAAAATTAAAAACTTTTTTTTTTAAAAAAAAAAAAAATCAAAATAGGTTTAAATAGAATATTTGTGTATTATATGGCAACAAGTAAAGTTGTAGCCCAGTGGTTATTTTTACCTCTCATCATACAATGATACAAGAGTTTGTGGGTTCAGGGTTCGAAACCCATAACTCACACTTTTATTTTTTCATTTTGTTTCCTTTCATCCTGCTTCCCCTAATCCCCTGCTTCCAGCTTTCCTCTTCCTCATTCCCCCAAATTGCAAAACCCTAACTTCTTCCTCCTTCTCTTAATCTCTTCCCGTTCTTCCTCCTTGGCTCCTTCTCTTCCCGTTCTTCCTCCTTGGCTCCTTCTCTTCCCGGCGCACGGGCGCAGCACCGCAGAAGTCCGCAGCAGCCACTCAGGCACTCAGCCAGCACCGCAGCACGGCAGGTCGGCAGTAGGCCAGTAGTCACTAGTCAGCCACTCAGCTGACCACCGTAGCTCCGCCCCTGAGTGGCGCCGTGGCGGAGCAGACCCACCGTATGTAGGGGTAAGTGAATTTGGGGATTTTTTGCTAATATACATATGCTAAATTGCTAATATAGTAATATACATATACATATGCTAATACTTGAAAATTGAAATTCATATGCTAAATTGCTAATATACATATACATATGCTATTATGCTAATACTTGAAATTCATATGCTAAATTGCTAATATACATTACAAATTGCAGAATTTTTTGTAAATTGCTGAAATTTGGTTATAATTATCTTATATTTCAAGTATAAATATTCTCTTGAAAAATTGTAAGAGTGTTAAATTGGCTTGACTTTGTTAATTACCTCTGAAAAGTTGTAAGAATGTTGAATGGGCTAGACTTTGTTAATTACCTCGTAGCATAAAAACATTCTCTTGAAAAGTTTCAACATATGGCCTCACCTTGCTCAATATCTTATCGTAAACATTCTAACTATTTGTTGATCAAGAATAATAAACAATCTAATTTCTACCTTCTAATTAGCTAGAGTGGTTGATGTTATTGCTTGGATTGGTATGATTTTATTTAGATGATTATAATTAGTCTTGTACCCACTAAGAATTAAACGTGATAATACAACTCCTCTACATAAGGTAGAGCTATAGAGGTATAAGTACACTTCTATAAGAGCCAGGAGAAGTCACAGCATTAGCCCGGCTATTCTGCCTTCTAGTTTTCCTCAATGACATACGTAAAAAATAAGTTGCGAAATAGTATGGGTGATCAACTATTGAATGATAATTTAGTCACTTTTCTTGAAAGAGATTTATTTTCAAGAGTTAGTGATGATGATGTATTGGAACGCTTCCAAAGTATGAAGACTCGAAGAATGCTTCTGTAGTCTTTTTTTTTTTTTTTTTTCTTTTCATTTTTCTATGTGTAATCTATTTGTAATCCATAGTTTGAACTTATTTATGTACTGAATATTTAATTATTGTATTTTTATTCCTTTGTTAATTATGATTTCAAATTTCGGAAGTTTCGAACCCACAGTTCGAAAATCCTGGTGACGCCACTGCAGTCCAATAATCCATCCATCAAAAATGACTTTACTACAATTCTCTTCACCCCAGCCCCATATCATGATCCTAAATTCCTAATAGCACTAATACCTCTAGCTCATATCTGTCCACCTCCGAAGCTTTTATCCGTCAATCAATAGGACCTTCCCCTCCTTACGAGCTCAAAACACTAATATAATTACATTCTTCTTGAATCTCCCCCGAAGGCGGAAATATACAGAAATGCTCATTGATGGATTTCCCAATTCCTAAATACTTGCAACATTTCAACAAACGAATTTCTAAAAGAAAATCCTAGTGCACCTATCTCACAACTCTCAACAAAAGAGTTACAGCTCAGATATCAGGAAACTAGTACTATCCCTTCAATCTTCATCATATAATTACCATGTACTAAGTAAATTTGTTCTCTTTGATGATTAAATTACCAAACAAAATCCTATAATCATTCACAGTTTCAAAAATTCATATAATTTGCAAATTTTCTGGGGTTTACCGGTTGAGGATTCTACTATGAACATGGACTAATTGTAAACAAGGGATTCTGCAGCTTAATTAAATTAAAGAATTCCACTTTGTTAATCAAAATAGCAAAAGAAAAAATGTGCTAAAAATGAAAAATAAAATTAAAGATGAAATTGAAGAATGGGAATCGAATAACTGACCTTGATAAGCTTGCAATTGGATTTGTTAAGTTTCTTTGATTGTTAAAGGAAGAGGTGGTATGATTTATTGGCGTCAGATTTTAGCATGAAATGGAAGTCTAAAGAGAGAATTTATGTGATTCCTCACAACCTCAATCGGGCCAACCCAGCAAATAAGGTCTTGGGTTGGGTTGGGTCGGGTCTAATTCTAGGTCCAACAACTTCAATCCTAAATCCAACACCTGTTTATCAACGAGGTCTTATCTTAATGGGTAAGATTCAGGGCCTGTGTACGATAAATCACATATTTAAATCCCTACTCTATTTGTACTACGTGCCTCTTGAATCATTTGCACCAAAAAAAAATTAAAATAAATAACGACAAACTAAATGAGTTGTTAATGATGATGAAATGGAGGGCGACAAAAAGATGAAATTTTTTTTTTTTACAAAAATATGGAAGTTTTGACTTATTTAATACTTTTATTGCTTATATAACTATTTGAAATTTGAATCTTGGTGGAGGCATCTACGTGACTACGTGTGTTGTTCATAGTAGCTTGTACTCCGTAAGACTTGCAACTTTTTGAAGTTTGAACTAAGCCAAAAAAAAATTCGAGTTTATAATATTTAGCATTCCCTCCATTCAATAATTGTGCTCATGCTTTAACTTTGTTAAATCGTTATATATACATACAAAAAAATAGGGCAATTGTACAAACCAATAAAAATAATAAAAACGATCTGCAACATGGAATGTAATTTGTTATAAACCCATTTAGACCCACTAGGTACGGGCCTAAGTCTAGTAGAACCGACCTAGATCTGATTCATTGTCATTTATATTCCCTATGGCCCTATCATAGTTACTCTTTACATAGGAATTAAACAAATTTTGGCATTCAACATCTTAGAACATTGTTAGATGTATTATCCACTGCCTATACTAATGTGTTGATATTAGTATTTTGCAAGACACCGTAGGACATGGGAACATGGTTACATTTGTGTATAATCAGGCAAATCTCCCATGTACACACCATCTCTAGTTTTTAGAATCTCCTGATCACACACCACAGTTCACCTCTCTTCAATGCACCATTTCATCACCACATGGACTAATTGAGTGTACTAGTCTTTAGTGTACACTCAATTGCCAATGCATGAGTCCCCTATGTACTTTCTAACCCCCAATGTTGATAATGAATACCCTCATTGAACTAGTCCCCAATGTATTATTCTACGTACATACACCAGTACACCACTACCCTAGCAATCTTGTACACATTCCATCATTCACGTATTAGTCCTCTTTGCACATCCCTTCACCAGCATAGAATTAAACAATGAACATGCCACTAATCTTATGGATTAGGCAAGGGCTTATTGGGCCTTATATCAATGAACAGATTCATCAATAATCATCATGAAATGGACTAGTATAAGGTTAGAGGTATAATATCAGTAATCCAGAGCATTGAAATCTGACTGAGTAGCCTACTAATGAATCTGCAGCAAAAGTGTCATTCACCAAGGAATGCAGATTTCTGGCACTAACAAGTGCTATGGTTGTTGAATTTACATCGTGACGATCGTGCTATATGCCTATTCAGCCTATATATGGCTAAGGCTATTTACACCACATAATATGGGTAGCAACATCAGTCCCTTCTGTGCAATTCAGAAGCTGGGGTACCCCATGCCTGGACCCCTGTTTCGAATAGAATTGTCACGGTCTCATCACGAAGGACTCATCACAACTTTACAGAAATGCTCATACCTACAAAAAATTCTCTTATTCTTCAAGCAAGAAACATAGAGCTATAGAATAGAAGTAATAAAATACTGAAGACTACTTTCCAGTAAGGCAGTAATGCATAAATCAGAAAAATTGTGTACACAGAATTTAATGGCAGGTGCACATCATATGCAAGACCAATCGAATATTGATATTAAGAAACAGCAAAGTTGAGGCTCCGTTTAAAAATTCATTGAGATGATGCCCAAAATGTTGAAAAAAATGATTATATACCCCATATGTTATGTAACAAATGTGTGAACGTCTTTCCTGTATAACATTTCTATTTTCAGATCAAATAATGATGTTGTGGTTCTTACACAGATTTTGTAATCAGAATAAGCAGTGTAAGCAACCACACAAACATGTAATCTCATACTTTCTAAAACCACTACAAATTTTTACAACATAGGGCAGGCAGCAGCTAATTCTTGTAGATTGGTGGCTTTCCTAACCACTTCGCACGAAATCCAGTCCCTTGACAATCACCACATTGAGTTGAACCCTGCATAAAATCAAGACACAGAAGAACACTCTTTTCATCCTATGCTAGAGAGTTTAATATACTAATATGTATCATAATAGTAACCGAAAGTACTGAATACAGAAGGTAAGGTCATTAATAAATTGCTCACCTCTCCTGCACATATTACACAAGTAGTGTTTCTAGACGGAACTTCACACAGCATGTTATCACCAATAATGAAAAAACCCGTACCAGCACACCATTTGCATTCAACACAACCATTCGAGTTACAAGAAGAGCAAGCAATAGGGGTAGGTTGCTGCATACATTTACATTATAAATATTAGAAACTATGGAATTCAGGTATTGGTGTTAAACAATGGTACATGTCCAAGTGTCAAACTCGGCTACTTTACTCATAAAAATCATATTATTGCAATCAACAAACCGTTCCAGCTACAAGAAGAGCTAGCAAATTAGCAATAGGGATAGGTTGCTGCATACATTGTCATTACACATGTCAGAAACCATATTACTCGGGCATCGGTGTCAAACAAAGGTACGTACGTGTCCAAGTATCAAACTCGGCAACTTAAAATGACGATTTCGTATTATTACTCAAAATGATGTGTCCATGGTTCCATACCCGTGTTTGAGTGTCCAGGATATGACACGAGTTCCAGTATTATAAGCAATACTTCATTGTAAGAATGATTCCAGCACTGAGAGTACATAATTTCCATCATCTATCTTCAATAATTCAATACAGTACCAATTATATTGAAGTTAAATGTATTCCACCATTAAATTTTGTCCAACTAATTTACAGGGTAAATCATACAAAATTGTAACATTCCAGCTTTCTAGGGTTCCAAATGAAATCAAAACCCCCCAAAAGGGCATTTTTAGCTTTAATTGGGAAAATTAAAGAAATTTACAAAAACAAAAAAAGATTACAAATTTAAGTAATTTAAGTGAAATACCTGAGAAATTAACCAGGCTTGTTCAATACGATCAGCAAAATTGGAGGAATTATCAGATGAAGAACCCACCATTGAAGCTTGAATTTTGAAATTGAACCTCTGATGCATCAAACTTGAAACGACGACGTTTTGGGATCTTCTTAAAGGAATTATTGTGGAGCTTTTCTTCATGGGTTCGATCCAAATTGAAGGTTTACAACACAAACAATAAGACATGGTGCTTTAAATTTTTGAAATAATTTCTTCCAATTATTTTAAATTTTATGAATTTTGAGAATAATCAAAAATGGGGTTTTTCACTTTTTCTGGGAAATATTTTGGTGTTTTTTCAGTTTTTCTTAATTTCTGTTTTTTCTTCGTTTGTGGGCGTAATAGCGTAAATCCTTGTAACACAACAAATAACGCGGGACACGAAAGATATTTCTACTCCGTCCTTCGATAGATACTCTCATACTCTAAAATTTGAAGTTAAGTATTACGGAGTAGTGATTTAGTCCGTTTAGACATGAGATTATGTCTCGTTTATTTTAATCATATAGAGTACCTTCCGTCCTTTTCTCTTACAAAAATAATAATATTCAAATACTGTAATATTTAGATTTTTTATTAAATTACTCTAAAAATTACTACTTGTATCTTTTTATATGCTCAGCAATATAAAACTCACCTACTCAGCTAAAAAAAAAACAGATATAAGTACATGAGTTCTTTTATGAAATACAAATATATTATAAATTCTTTTTTTAACACAAAATTTTAAATACAAATATAACTAATTAAGCATTCCCTAGAATTATTTAATTACATAGTACAAAGAATTAATTATTCCGTAAAATGTAATTAAGTATTCTGCATACCTACGACGGAATACTAGATCGCAATTTGATTAGAAAGTGCAATTATTTGAAATTTACTAATCAAACATAGAACGTAACTAATTGAACTTGACTATTCACCTACAAAGTTGTAATTTTTTTATTGAAAAATTAAAACAATTGAGAATTACTATTTGATGACAAAGTATAACGGCTAGCTAAAATGGTTTCACGGTATAAGACAAAAAGATCGAAAAATTTGTTATTATTAATCCCAATTTTAGGCCATTTACTTTAATTAATCCCAATTATCGATTATTTTTTAATAACCCCAACTTTAAGGGGCGTTTTCTTTTATCAGGTCAAATGATCGGTAACTTGATTAAAAGGTAAAAAAAAATTATTTTTTTCTTAAATGACACTTGTCTTAATTTAATTAGTCAAAAACAATAGAACAATAAAACCAAAACCAAAAAAAAATAAAATAAAATAAAAAAATTGGAAACCACCGTTAGCCATCCATCCCTCCCCCTTCCCCCAGCGGTAAACACCGCCACCCCCTCCCCGCCACCCCGTAAAACTCCCTATCTCATGCTTTGGCATGGTTGTATTCTGAGGAAGGTTGTTGGCGTTTTCAGTGGGTGGCCTGGGGTAATCGCCGGCGGGAGGAAAGGGAGGGGGTGGGGGTGTTTTGCGGGAGGGGTTGGGGGCTGATGGTGGTTAGTTTATTTTTTTTCGTTTTGTTTTTTATTTCATTTTTGTTTAAATTGTTTTTAATTTTTTGGACCAATCAGGGCTTGACACGTGTTAAGTAACCTATTATAAAAAATCATTGACTTTTGTTGACCGGTTATGACCTGATAAAAGAAAACGCCCCCTAGAGTTGGGATTATTAAGGAATAATCGATAGTTGGGACTAATTAAAATGAATGGCCCAAAGGTGGGATTAATAATAACAATTTTTTTTTTTATTGTAAAGAAAAAGACATGCATGTAAGTATGCAATGGAGTAAAATTATTAAATTAATATCACAATTATGAAACTAAAAAATTAACGGTCACAAGCACCTTGAGACTAGAGTCATTGACCACTCAAAAATTAAGAAACCGTTAATGCCAATAACTTATTGGGGAAGAGTAGATGGTAGAGAGGGTTGAAAAGATGCAATGTGGAAAAAAAAAATGCAATGTGGGAAAAAAAGACATGATTTCCTATGCTATTTGACTGTTATTTATAGTTAGTAATTTCAATGCAATCGTATAATAGATGGTTGGAAAATTGGGCGGGTTAAACTCATCAATTGGGTTTGGGTGGTATGTAAAAACTTTGATTTCCAACTTCCATTGAGCTTAATTAGTACTCCAGATTCCAGAAGATATGTTTTTACCAAGAACCAATCATATTGCCAAAAAAATGATAATATTGATGATAATTGTGAGAGATTAAGCTATGGTAGATTAATTTTCATTCAATCTCTATAAAGGTTACTCCCAATGCATTTTTCAGGGTCAAACTTAAAAATATTACCTCCATTTTATATTATTTGCAACGATTAGATATTTTTTACTCACATTTTCTATCAAATCATTACAAATAATATAACGAAAATAATAATTCAAATCATGACTAATCTACAAGAAACACTATAACCGATTAGTTGATATCACCCAAACAAACCATATTAGTAGTTGAGTCATGCACTCATGCGCATGAAATTAAGAGTTGACCATTGATATGAAAGTTCTCCCAAATGCCTTAAAAAAGTAGTTGACTTGAAATTCATGGACGGTGGGTGGGTGGTCAACGGTCATCACCTAGTGTGTTCACAACGTGGGCTTTGACACATTTATAACATGGAATTGGTATTGGACGGCCATTGCCATTTTTAGCCATTCACGAAATTTAGAGCCTAGTTTTTTTTTTTTTTTTTTTTTTTAAGGAGAAAAATGTGACTCGTTTGTTTTGATAGTTGTACCATTGTGACTTTTGTTATTAAAAATTACATAATCATTTTAATTGATAATTTGTATGGAAAAATATAAATATATAAGCATGTATTAAGATTTAGTAGCTTTCTATTAAAAAAAATAATAAAAAAATAAAAAGATTTCGTGGAGTATGGTCATGATTGTTCAATTTTCACGATAACTAACAACACTAGTGCTTTATTTTACGTAAAATATATATTGAAAATAAAGATAATAGCATATTATTCTCTCTAGATTTATCTCATTTTACTTGTTCTAATTTGACCAAAAGCTAGCTCTTACAAAAATTTTGATTGAACTTGTCAAAATTGCAGCAGAAGAATCAATCAAAGCAGAACAAAGAAGAACACCGGATTTTTGGCCTTCATTGCACTGTCCGAAGAGTTCGTGCTTGGGCAAACTAGAACTAATTCATTGAATATTTGAGAGATAAAGTTTATAGAGAAATCTAGAGAGAAGGAAAATTACAAAAATGAAATCTTTGTGAATAAATAAAAGCATCGCTCTAAAAGCTGTATTTATTACAAAGTAAATGTTGTAACTAACTTCCAACAGAATTGATTCCTTCTTGGACAATATCTGTTGTGCACTAGCTCATGCTTATTGTGTGACCCTGTTGCCAGCTCATATTCCACGTGTGCTTCACTTGCCTGCATCATCATTAATATCTTCAATATACAAGACCATACTAATGTAACCTTGACTGAGAATCACTAAGGTTACAGAAGTAGTTATCAAAGTGTTTTGGGAATTTGGTAGGTCTTGTACTTTTTTTTATTTCAATGACATTAATGACTGTAGAATCAGAATTAGAATTATTTGATTGTGAGGAGATAAGTACATCAGAAGTAGAAGTTTCATCGGAATCAGAGTGAAAAGTAGTAGAAGGGGAAGAAACAGGAGAATGATCTTGTCTGAAAATAACAGGAATTGAGTCATAGTGACAAATTTGGGAGAAAGAGTAAATGGAATGACTTCTTTATCATATATCATTAGGTAGAGTATTTAATTTATACAAAACCTAAGCTTATAAGATAGGAAACAATCTGAAATATTAAAAAAAAAATTATATTTTTGGCTAAAGTTTTATCCCACCGGTGGGTTTAATTTTCTAACCCACAGGCAGGGGATCGGAAAAATGTTTGTGAATGGTCCCAAGATTTAACCTGCTCTTGATACCATGAAAAATTTGGGAGAAAGAGTAAATAGAATGACTTCTTTATTATCGATCATTAGATAGAGTATTTATACAAAACCTAAGCTTATTAGATAGGAAACAATCTTCTTAAAAGATATACCAGCCTAACCATAAATCTTAAAGATATATTCTCTAAATAATATCTTAACATAAAATAAACCTAAACATATTATTCTCTTAATGATATCTACGGAAAATATATCACACATATATTTTCCGATATCTCATATCTGTAACACATAGTGAAATGGAGTGAAGTCAATTGCAGCAGGTAGGAAAAATTTGTGTTGTTGAGAGTTTGAGAAATGGAAAGGGAAATGTATGTTGCTCATGGAATACAACATCCCTAGAAACATGAATAGTTAAGGTCTCCAAATTTAACACCTTATAACCCTTTTGTGAAGCTGAATACCTTTCAAACACATGTTGTTTTGCTCTAGCATCAAATTTTCCTCTATGTTGTTTTTGTGTGGAAACAAAACATAGACAACCAAATACCCTCAAGTGATCCAAAGTAGGAGATACACCAAATACTTTCTCATAAGGAGAACAATTACCAAGCACTTGCAAGGGCATCCTATTTATGAGATGTACAACACATAAAACACACTCTCCCCAAAACTGAATAGGAAGCTTAGCTTGGAAAAATAAAGCCCTAGATGTTTCAAGTAGATGCTTATGCTTCCTTTCTACCACTCCATTCTATTGTGGAGTATCCACACAACTCCTTTGATGATGAATACCCTTAGCAATATAAAACTTCTTCATATCCCCTTCACACAACTCTAATGCATTGTCACTTCTCATAGCTTTCACAATATAATGACACTGATTTTCCATTATATGTAAGGTCAGGGTTAGGTCCGTAAACATCAATATATAACAAATCAAATGGAGCCTTGGTTTTAATACTATTTAAAGGAAAAGAACTCCTAGTCTATCTAGCAGCAGGACAGATCTAACAGAAACTATCCAAGGTAACATCCTTATTACAAACATCAGACACTGCAAAATGCAACTTAATAATATAAGATATCCCATTCTAAGATGCCATAGCTTGAGCTTATTAAGCAGTAGCAACTAAAGAAGTAGTGTTGGGTGGCTTATGAAGTAGTGAATCCTCTAGGCAATAAAGACCTTATGTGAGCTTACTAAGAAGAATTGGCCTCATTGAAGAGCCTTGGAGATAACATTCATTATCAGTGAATGTGGCATGACAGTTTAAATCCTTGCATAGTTTAGGTATTGAAATTAGATTGTACCTAAAATCAGGAACATGCAGCTCATTACTTAGTACTATATGATCATTCAGTGTGACAGTACCTAAGTGTGTGATTGCTACTTGTTTTCCATTTGGGATAGTGATTAAATTTTCTGATCCATTATAGTGATGCAATGAATCATGTAGAGAATTATCATAGCACATGTGATCTGTAGCACCACTATCCAATATCCACTTAGCACCAACAAAAGATGTAAAACAG